GCCCAGCTGCTGCAGGTGCTGCAGGACCTCCGGGAGGCACACAGTTGCAGCCCAGCCAGCTCCCCATCCTCAGAGACGAACTGCCTCCTGGAGCTGCAGACGTGAGACCGGCCCCACACTCCCTCGCCGAGCCCCCTGCCGCGTGCTTGGATACCCCTGGTGCACTCTTGGCCCTTCACCTCGGTCCCTCTCTTTGGGGTGCAGGGCCTGGGTCTCTCTTAGGCTGGGTAAGTTGGGTAGCCAGGGACCAGGGGATCCAAAAGTCCAGAGCTGACAAGGCTTTGGCCCATCATCGCCCATAGGAAGTCTCTTGGGGAATCTGGGGGCTCCTGCTCCTCTGAGAGGCCTGGCTGCTCTCTGCGGTCCCTGCAGCCATCACCGCCACTGGCCAGACTCTTCAGGGACCTTCCACTCCTGCCCAGGGCAGATCCATCCATAAACTACCCCGAGGATGGTCCTCACCCAAGTGGATTGACACGTCCTTACCCAGAGAGGTGGAAGGGGACAGAGCCCAGGAGACCAGGCCTTGACCTCAGCACCCACTTTGCTCTCGGCCACCACTCTGCCTGCTCTCCTCACAGCCACTGGCTGTGACCCTGGGAGAGCATCACAGTGCTCTGTCACCAACAATAAATCTATTGTGACTGCGGCTCTGGGGTCTCATGATGGGGGTCAGGAGAAGGAGTGGGCCTGGGGACCAAAGTGGCTGCTGGTGGGGGTGGCCAAGAACGGGCTGCCGGCAGAGCCTCTGCATCCCCATCCCTTCTAATTGCTTCCCCCTCTCTCGGGGGCTCCTCCTCGCAGCTGCTGTCCCCACCGTGCCCCTGGTCCCACTCCCCATGCCCACAGGCTGCAGCCTGGCCTGGCTCACCAGCTGTCCTCTCCTTGAAGCCCCAGACAGGCCCCCAGTGTCCTGAAGACCAGGGGCAGGTTCCGAACGACTCACACAGCCTGGCCCTGGCAGCGTTCCTTGTGCCAACCCTTCCATCAGAGCAAGGCTCCCTTTGGTCATCACCTCCCTGCCCTCATCCCAGTCCATCTCTAGGTCCACAGTAGCCTCCAACATAATTAATAGGATGGGGAAGGGGCAGAGGCTTCCAGCACATTCTTTAAACCTCTCATCCAGCCAAGCTCATAGCCTTGCCTCTGAATCCAAGGCTCAGGACAGTCCCCAAGGGCCTCGGTCACAGGTAGGACCCCTGACCCAGCTGACCAGCGAGGTTCTGGGACAGGGCCATCTGGGCAGGCTGCATACTGGGTTCTTTGAGGGCTGGCAGAGGAAGCAAAGGGGGGATGAAGGAACAGGGGCTGCCCCCTTCCCTCTACCCTATGGCTTTTGGGGCCATGTTGACCTTTTTCCTGGCCACAGCCTCGATGGGGGGCAGTATCCCTCCACAAAAAGCCTACCAACCTGACCCCTTGGATGTTCATCTCTTGGTTGCGATGCTACCATCCTATAGACCTCAGGAGCCTCTTTGCAGGGCTAGGCGACCCCTCTCCCTTCTGGCCCAAGGCTTGGGACTAGGGGTGGCTAAGCTTGTCCCTACCCCATCAGGAACACATGGCACTCTGGCTACTTCCTTAGAGTAGCTGTCCTCATGCCTGTTGGATCTTCTTGGGTTTCAAGGACCTCATGGTCAGGAAGTATGGACCCCAGGGTCTCCTGAGCCCTAGTGCTGGGAAGAAGGGGAGAGGTGTGAACTTACTGGGGCTGCAACAAATAGAATTCTGGATTTTAAATGTACACATACAGCCACCGACCGCAACATACACCACCCTCTCATTTAGTGGGTCCTGGTGTGGACATGGCCATCACAGGGGAGTTAAAATAAGTAAGTGATGCCCTGGCCGGTTTGGCTCAGCGGTTAGAGCGTTGGCCTGCGGTCCGGAGAGACCTGGGTTCAGTTCCCACTAAGGGTATGTACCTCGGTTACAGTTTGTCCCTGGCCCTGGTTGGGTCATGCGGGTGGCAGCCACTCGATGTGTCCCTTTCATGTCGATGTTTCTTTCTCTCTCTTCCTCTCCCTCCCTCCCACTCTATCTGAACAAAAAAAATGTCCTCGGGCGAGGATTAAAAAAATGACTGGCATTGTCCCCACCGGTCATGTACCTCCACACCTAGGGCCTCCTCTTAGGCTCTGAGCAAAGCTGCCTGCAGCCCCAGATACCACATTTTTGGAAGCCACCTGGGAAAAAGGAGTGTACTCACGGCACAGGAAAGTGCCAGAAGTCACGTTTTCCTGCCGAGGGATTCTACACCAACACCATATCCCCTCAGGATCCCCAGGCCTGTTTTTCACTCAGGGCCTGGGGCAGGTCCCCCAGATGTGTTGAGGACTGTAGCCCGGGGGGGTGGCAGTCAGCACAGGGCAAACATCCTGGGAAGCCCTAAGTGGATCCAGCTCACAGTACCTGCATCTTTCATCCTCTGGCCTATTAGGGAATCTGGGCTAATTCCCACCAACTTCGTTTTGGAAATTCCTGTCAAAGTATAATTTTCAAATATATTTTAAAAATGACTCAAATATAGAATGAACATGTATCAAAGATTTATTACACATCAAGGAGGAAATGAGTATTTGGCAAAGCTGGCTCATTGAGCAGTTTGAGAAGCTAGGTATTTGTAAGCATTCTGAAAAAATGCTAGAATAAGAATTGTGATAGTCTCTATGGGATAGAAACATACAAGTTCATACGTAACTTCAGTGTCTGGGTTCTAATGGAATAATAAATATGAAAGTCAATTCCAGGTCCATTCCCTGAGATTAGGGATTGGCCGACTTTCTGAAAAGGCCCAGGCATGCAAGTGTTGGTCACAATTGCTCTCAGAGCACAAAAGTAGCCACAATGAGTGGCTTAATTTATTCCAGTAAAATTTTATTTCCAAAAACAGGTGGCAGGCTTCATTTGGTCTGCAAACCCTCACCGTTCAAGGCGCTCTGCCCTAGATAAATAATCCCAGGTCAGGCCTGCTAGCAATGCTCCAGGATGACAATGACAGAACATGCTCCCTTCACCTACTTCTGGGGTTGGATAATGTTTCCTCACACCCCTTGTCCTAGCAGTTATTTTCACAATTATGCCAGGCACTCCCCTTGGGGCACACCAAAACTGAGCCTCTGAAGACTCTTTAGGGGGTTGACAGCTTCTGGAGCCCAAGGATCTCATGTTGGTTTGGGAATCAAAAGGCAAGTGTGACCAGAACTCCCCAAGAGAGGACAGACTTTCACAGTGGCAAGGAGGGTGAAGCCCCTGCTTTGTAAAATCCTCTTCCCACCTTAGCCCAGTTAAGGACAGCCAGTCTCGGCACATCCAGACCCCTGCAATCCTGGCAAAGGTAGCATCCTTGGCCCAAACTTTTCCAGGATGACTCAGAAGATTTGGGGTTACAACCTTAGGGCATCTTTACATTCATTGCTTTCTATTACTCAGCAGTTAAAAAGGTACCCATCAGTTTGTCCTGGAGAGTCAAGGTTGGTGTGGGCCTCCAGTGAATGACAATTCCTCACCCCAGGACTCAAGGCTCAAGTAGGAAATGGCACTTTCCAGAAGACGATAGTGGAAGCTCAGATTTCCTTTGGGACTCCTTGTCTGCTACCCAGACCTAGAGAAACAGCCCTGACGCTGTTAGGGCTCTAGTAGCTAATCTGAGACTCCAGTCCCTGTTGCTTCTGTAATAACTTCATTCTGACCCTCGGTTACTGCACGTACACACCCTGGCAGTTTCTTTTTTGTAAACATAAGGGCCTTGAGAAACCCAAAGAAAACTATAAAGATAAGGGGTTAATGAAGGCCTTGGGAAACTCAGAGGAACCATGAGAAAAAAGAGGTTAATGGTTGCCCTAACCTAACAGCTCCTCTCACCCACTTCTATCAGTACCCCCTCTAATGGTGCCAAAAGTGGTGCCAAGAGAATGTCGTTTTTTGTTTTTTTTCCCCTGTAGTTTGTGCCTTTAAAAGCAGCGACAAGCCCTGGCCGGTTTGGCTCAGCGGTTGGAGCTGCGGCCTGCGGTACAGAGAGACCCAGGTTTGGTTCCCGCTAAGGGCATGTACCTCGGTTGCAATTTGTCCTCGGCCCTGGTTGGTCGTGCGGGTGTCAGCCACTCGATGTGTCCCTTCACATCGATGTTTCTCTCCCTCTCTCTCCCTCCCGCTCTATCTGAACAAAAAATGAAAAAATGTCCTCGGGTGAGGATTAAAAAAAAAAAGCAGTGACAAAGAAGGCTCCGGGCTGTTGATTTGGGGAGAGCCCCTCTTCAGCCCGCCGGTGTAATAAACTGCTCGTTTACAACTCATCTGTGCGTCTCTGGTTATCTCGCTGACACCTTACAACACTTCAGACAGCTCAGGTAGGGCCTTTATAACTAAGCTGTAGCCTGCAGAGTATCAACCAATCGAAACAGGGATGGATGCACTTATCCCTCCTAGAACCTCTCACACCTGAATACATACCTGCCTCCTGCCCCAGCCCTCACCCAATTGACACCCTAACAAGAAGCTCACTAGGCCACACGTTCCCTTGGCAAATCAGTTACAACACAGAAAAGAATCTTGTAGCAACCTGCCCAGGCAGCCTTGGCAGGGGGGATTACCCATACACAGGCGTCTGGTTCAAGGGACAGACGCTTATGAACCCATGAGGCTGCTTCTGCACCCGCCAGTCACACCTACCTATACCCCATAGCTCCATTCATTCAGGGGCCTCTTGCTGTGTACTCCAAGGGCACATTTCTAAAGACGGTCAAGGGCTGTGGGGAGCAGAGAGAGGCCGAGCTCAGGGTGCCGCTTAGCCTGGACGAGGACACCCCAGTGCGCAGAGTAGCTGCCAGTTCCCCGAAGGGACCTTCCGGACTTGCGCGTGTGCACAGCCACCAACCTCGGCCCTTCCCTTGGGTTCTAGCGTCCGCGCAACATCCTCCGGTCCGATAGGGGGCAGTGAGCCAGTCTCCACGCGGGCTTGGCACCTCGGTAAACGCAGGCGCCGCCGCTCACCCGGAAGAGGCTGCCTTGAAGGGCCCTAGAGGCGAGTGGAGGCAGCTGAGAGTTTGGAGGCGGCTGCGGCGCTAGGATGAACGCCCCTCCTGCTTTCGAGTCGTTCTTGTTGTTCGAAGGCGAGAAGAAGTAAGTGGAGCCGCCGGGGCGGGAGAGGGGCGGCCGAAGGTCGCGGGCCCTCACCTGTGTGGTCCTGCAGATCCTGGGGCTTCTGCCCCCCTCTGCCGGGGCTTGCGTGGGTGGGCGGGGGCAGATTCGGGGAGCGGCTTTTGCTTGAGCGGCGGCTCGCAAAGCGTTTCGCGCCTGTATCTGCCCAGTTTGAGGTGCGAGGCGGTGGTGAGTCTCCCGTTCGCGGGTGAGGACACCGAGGTTGAGTGAGTCCCCGGGCACGGGAAGTGGTGGGGCTGTTTTGGAACCCAGGACGTCTGGCTCCAAAGTTCTTTTACGCGGGGCTCGGGCAGCCGTCTCAGCCGTCTCCTGGCCCGCCACCGTTATCCTCCTTGCTGCAACCGGAGTGACCGTTCTTAGACTCATATCCGATCTCCAGCCGCCTGTGTAAAACCTTCAGTGACTCCTCATTGCTTGCAAGGTGAAGGGGAAAATGTAGTCTAGTGGGCAGACAGCCTGGGCTTGGCTCCTGCATCCCCCACTTAAGGACTCTGTCTTTGGGCAAGTGCCTTAATCTGACTTTCCTCATCTGGAAAGTGGGTTTATTATTGTATTAAATCACAGTAAGTAAATCTAGGGGGTAAGTGAGGTAATTTATGTAAAGTGCTTAGTCCAGGGCTCAGCACCTAGAAGACCCTCTTTATTTTTTGTTATTCTTCACCAGAGGATATTTTCCCATCTGTTTTTAGATAGAGTGGAAGGGATGGAGAGAGAGAGAAAGATCGATGTGAGGGAGATACACAGATTGGTTGTCCTGCAGACCATAGCCAGGGCCAGGGATCGAACCTGTAACCCAGGTATATGGCCTTGACCAGGAATCAAACCCATGACTTCGGTTCGTGGGCCAACACTCTTACCGCTGAGCCAAACTGGCCAGGGCTAGAAGACCCTCTTACACATTGGCTTTTCAAACTTCTCTTAGCCTGGTATGCAGGGCTCTATGGTCTAGCCCTTGCCAGCCACTTCAGTCTCCCTTGAGAACAGTGGTTCTCATCTGCGGATGATTTTGCCTCCCAGAGAAACTTGGCAATGTCTGCAAACATTTTTTGGCTGTCATAAAGGGGGTGCTACTGGCATCTGGTTGATAGAGGTCAGGAATACTGTCAGTACCCTAAAATGTACAGTTAGTTCCATACCAAAAGAATTATCCGGCCTAAAGTGTTAGTGTACCAAGGCTGAGAAACTGCTTTAGGAGAAAGGAGCAATCCAAGGTAGGTGAGGGTCCCACAGAATCAGGAAATAACTTGTGTCAGGGTGTAGACACATTGCTGCTGAATCAGAGAGGTCTTTATGGAATGAAGAGATTGAGAAAGGCTTCCAGGAGGAGGTAGGACTTGAGTCTACCTTAAAGGGTAGGGTTTAGACACAAGGAGGAGGGGAACCACCCCCCCATCTCTTGCCTCTGCCTCTTCCTAGGATCACCATTAACAAGGACACCAAGGTACCCAATGCCTGTTTGTTCACCATCAACAAAGAAGATCATACACTAGGAAACATTATTAAATCGTAAGTTCAAGTCAAAGGCTCTCGGGGGCTATGTTCTGTCCCCCCACCCCCCAGGGGCTATGTTTAATGAGGCTCTTTGAGACAAACTGCAAGTTCCAGAAGGTTTTCTTCTTTTTTCTTTATTGATTTTAGAGAGAGGAAGGGAGAGGGAGATAGAAACATCGATGAGAGAGAACATCAATTGGCCACCTCCTGCATGCTCCCCATTGGGGATTGGGCCCACAACCTGGGCATGTGCCCTGACTGGGAATTGAACCAGCGACCTCTTGGTGCATGGGTCGATGCTCAACCTCTGAGCCACACTGGCCGGGCCAAAAGGTTTCCCTAAGTCTTTCTGAGCTCCACAAAGTCCTTCTGGTTGCTTGCTCTGGTAGTTCACTCATTCCAGTGCCTTTTCTTCAAAATGACACTGATATCTGTTCACACAGCCGCATCCCTGCACTGGCTCATTTATGTGACTAAAGTAAGTGAATATGCAGGAAGCTACAGAAAAGTAGGCCTACTTGTGGTTTTGGGCTAAGGTTAGTTCTTACCCAACCTGCCCATTTGTGACAGTGACCTCAGTGACACCTGGCCTTATAAGATGTGCCAGAGATTGTAACTGAGTAAAATAAGGAAATCGGGTAAGAGAGGGGCTCAGTGATTATCCCATTCCCCTGGTGGGCACCTGTTATTGGTTGGTGGGTGTTTGTTTACACCAGTGAAGTCCTGGCCAGGTAGGTGGCTAGCAATGTGATTGATGCTCTGACCCAAGGACTTGTCACTGCTGAGAAGTACCATCATTGCAGCAGGCCTTCCCCAGGTTTGTGTGTGTGAGACTAGGCTGAAAACTGTCTGGTCTCCTGGTGTAAGTAGAGGTTGCCATTGCCCACCTTTTGTTTGGATGACCCCCACCCTGCACTTAGCCAGTGGTGCACCCAGCTCTTCACTACCTCCTAGAACAGGACCCCAGCGGGTAGATAGCAGCTGCCAATGTCTTGCTTAAAGGACTTCCATTTCCCTAACTGCTCAGAGCCTGGGGCCTTCTCCCCCTGCACCTTGATTTGCTGTGCCAGGTGCTTTTCGAGCCGGGAATGGGGCTTTTGTGTTCTGGTTTACTGAACTTTGGCTGGATTTTTACTGCCTAGGGAGGTCTCTTTCGGAGCATTGCAGGGTCCCTGACTTCCCCTAAGGGAAGAAGTTACTGGAAACCCTGTTTAACAGCTAAGGTTCTTTTTAAAAAATGTTTTTATTGATGTTTTAAGAGAGGAAAGGGGAGAGATAGAAACATCAATATGAGAAACATCGATCGGCTGCCTCCTACCCGCCCCCTACTGGGGATCAAGCCCACAACCTGCTCAATCCATTGAGCCACACTGGCCAGGCTACCACCTAAGGTTCTTAATTTTCATGGATATAGGGGTGAGTGTGGGAGGAGTCCCCATAAGGTGTATCTTATCCCAAGTATGTGTTTTACTTGAAGGTTTTTTTTTTTTTTTTAATTTTTTTTTTCTATCCTCACCCAAGGACATTTTTGCATTTATCTTCAGATAGAGTGGGTGGGAGAGAGAGAGAGAAACATTGATGTGAGAGAGACACATTGAGGGGTCACCACCCACATGACCCCAACCAGGGCCGGGGACAAACCGCAGGAACTGCAGTTCCCTTAATGGGAACTGAACCTGGGACTCCCTGGTTCACGGGCTGATACTCCAACCCTTGAGCCAAACTGGCCAGGGCACTTGAAGATTTTTGGGGGTGGAAAAAATAAAACAACTAAAAATGAAGAGCAAGGAACTACCTGGCATCAGCTGCCAGCTGCATTTGCTTACGGGCCTCAAGCCAGTAGGAAAACCCCTTGGCTAGAAGGCCTGGTAAGGTACAAGGTGCCAGAGCTCCAGGGCACTGGCTCAGCCTCCTCACACTGCTCACCTTATATATCCCAGACAGCTGCTGAAGGACCCACAGGTGCTGTTTGCTGGCTACAAAGTCCCCCACCCCTTGGAGCACAAGATCATCATCCGTGTGCAAACCACACCAGACTACAGCCCCCAGGAGGCCTTCACCAATGCCATCACAGACCTCATTAGCGAACTCTCCCTGCTGGAAGAGCGATTCCGGGTGAGGAGCCAGTCGTGCAGGGCTGGGGTGGGTTGGGTTGGTCTGGACAACATCCTGTATGCCCGAGATGCGGGTTCTCATGCCTACACTTAGGACGACTCCTGGGTTGTTTCCTCTCATTTATTTCGGGGGAAGGGACTTCTATCATAGCCTCCAGGAAGTGTGGATGAGGTTATGGAGTTGAGGCCTGGGGCCTGCTCTCTGAATCCATGGGGTGCACTTACTTAGTGCTCCAGGGTCTCCTTGTGCACTCTGTAGTCCCTATGGCAGCAAGGGGTCTGCTGCCCCTTAGTGCTGTTCCTCCAAATCTGGTTTCTGATGCTGGCTGTGTCCAGGATATTTGTCTATCTAGAGGGCAGCTCATCCTAAGGTGGGGCTCCTGAACACCTGTTCAGACAGGGAGCATCAAAGTCTAGACAATTTAGAGTGGGAAAGATCCAGCCATTCAGATTTCAGCATATATTCACCAGGAAGCACCTCTGCTCCACCCGCCTCCCATCCTAGGCAGCGAGGTGTGTGCTGCAGAGAAGTGATGGGGTGGGCTTCAAGACTCCTAGGGTTGCTGGCCCAGTTCCCTAGAGCTGTTCAGGGCCTGCTTTACTGCTTCTGTTCAGTTCGTGGCTGCATTCTGGAGTCGTAGAAGCAGTTTCCTGGCTGACCTCAGTCAGGGATGCTAGGGCTGAGTTTCCATCACCCTCACTCGGCCATTCCAGCTAAGTGCGCTGCCTTTCCTTTCCCTCAGGTGGCCATCAAAGATAAGCAAGAAGGAATTGAATAGTGGGCTGGAAGCATTCTTGTTCCAGTTCCTACCCTGCAGTGGGCCCTTGTCCAGGCACCAAAAGGAAAAGAACAGCTTCTCCCAGCCATGGGCCTCCTTGGAAATATCCCAGAGAGCCCCTCACCCCCGACACCGATGTGTCCTGTACTACATCGATTCTGTTTCATCTTCCTAATAAAGTATGGCAGGAAAAGACTCAGATGTGGGCTGAAGCAGAGGTGACTTCACAGCAAATGGATTGTTGGGCTCAGTGGAGGTAGATGAACTATCTCTGGGGCCACAATGCAGAGTGGATTGGCCCAGAGATTCAGATTTCTGTCTGAGGGTGGCAGGAACAAATGCATTCTGAACCAACTGGGAACCTGGGGGGCTGTAGGGAAGGCCAATTTAAGCAGAAGGGAACTGCTCAAACCCATGTACTTCCCTGAGTCTCTACTGTAGAAGCTCCAGCTGCCAGGTCAGCCTGTCTTACTCAAAGTAGTAATGGGCCCCACAAACAGTGTTCCCAGTCTTCTCTGTTACATAGTAGAGAGTTTAATAAAAAATATTCATTCATAGAAAGATCTCCATCATTAGCCCAAAAATTGAATAAGTTAAGTTGTATCCCTGGTGCTTTGCAACAAAGGCAGGAGCTCCTGTTGGAGACTAGTGTCTCTTCCAGATGGCTACGATGTTGGAGTCTGTCAGGGCGGTGAGGTAGGTAAAGGTGGGGTTGGCCACCACTGTGTTCACCATGGTCTTGGTCACCGTCTGGCTGAGGGCCCGGGGCTGGGGCCATGTAAGGATCTGGTAGGAAGAGGGGAGGGGCTGGGCTCCTTCCTAGATACCAGGCCCCTCCCTGACCAGTCCCCAGCAGTGGGGAGGAGCGAGCTGTGCATACCTGCGTGGGGGCCTGCGGGGTTGCCGGCAGTGGAGGCTGCTGTGCCAGGATATGCCTGACATCGTAGATCCAGACATTGCCCTCCTCATCCCCACAGAGCACAATGCCCTCATCTGCCAGGACACAGAGATTGGAATCAGGTGAGGCACAGCTCCAGGGGGTGGAAGGTGGTATGGGGTATGTGGGTGGGCTCACCAGGACAGGTGCTGAGTGAGAAGTAGGCCAGTTCAGTGGGTGACCACTGCAGCCGAGCCAGGACCACCACTGCCACTGTGGACTGGCTGCCCCGGCTCACCCACGTCTGGCTCCAGCTCCATAGACAGATGGTGCCCAGGTCATTCCCCTTGGAGGCTGTGAGGAAGAATGGAGAACTGCCTGGGGGGCCCTCTCCAGGCATTTGTTCCACACTTGGGACCCTTCAGAAGCTTTCAGACCTAAACCCCAACCCAGGGAGAAGCAACCCATGAAGCCTGATCAGGGCCTATCTGAGTCCCAGGAGGCCAGACTGACCTGAGTGGGGCTTACTCACCCACGACATCCTCATTCACAAACGCCAGCCCATCCACTCTCTGGCCACGTGCCTCGGAGCCCTCAGAGAAGACAAACTCCACTTCACACACCCTGTGGGGCCACAGAAGATGCTGGTAAACTATTCCTTGCATATATAGTTTCTTTCATTCATTGGGCCCCTACTCTGGGCCCTGCCCTGTGTGGAGGTCAGAAGATGCAACCAAGAATATCTGTTCTGCACCCTGGCCGTGGGAGCCAGCACCTGAGTACACCAAGTCACAGGTGGTGGGAACTCAGAAGCATAAAGGGCTGGTTCTTCCAGGATTGGGGGGGGGGGGGGGGGCGGTGCAGGGAGGGTTCTGGAGAGAGGCAGCACCTCTGGGACAGAGATGAGCAGGAGGAAGGCATTTCCAGATGAGTGCTGGGGTCTGAGAAGGAAGACGGGAGGGATTTGCTGTGACCCTGAGGACAGTGGGGAGTGGCTGCTGAATATTTCTAAGCTGAGAGTGTGTGTAGGTCACACTGCTTGGAAAGGTCACCTAGCAGCTGCCCAGGGTCCTGGAGAGGACACCTGGAAGCAAGAAAGGCAGCCAAGCACTAACAGGAGAAGCAGACACATCTAAGATGTGGGAAAGAAATGCCACAGAACTTGGGGACCAGGCAGATGTGAGTGGGCAGGGAAAAAAAGAGACAGGCCCGAGGCTTGACTCCCAGGTGTGACACAGGGCCACCACCAACACTTGGCTGGACAACTGCCAAAGCCTGCAAAAGCTTCCACTACTTCTCTCCACCTAGTAGCTAATACACTCCTGCCACCCAACCCTAAAATTCTTCCCAGGCTATTCATTGCACTTACCGTAAATTCAGTCTCACCTTGGCCAACAAAGCTAGTGTGCCCTGGCCTGAGCAACCTGCCACCTCATCTTGTAGCTCTTCCTCTGGTTTTCCAAGCTGTGGCCAGACCTCCCTGGTCAACCAGCTCTCCCTACTACTGACCCTTTGCACATGCTGTTCCTCCTGTGTATACACCTTCCTGCCTTCTACCCACTTGACTCACAGGGCTCATGTGGAGAGCATGAGTTTGAGAACTTACCATCTGCCACAGGTCACCTCTTCAGAGTCCCCTTGGACTTCCTATTCCCCTCTCAAAGCACATGATTCTCTTTCCTTCACAGCTGGCATCACACTTTGTGGGGTTTTAATTGGCCACCTTTGTTTAATATGTCTCCCCTGCTTGTGGGCCCCAAGAGGGCTAGGACTCCATGCTGAGCACTGGCGGGCCTTTTGGGTGGCACGGATGAGCCACAGGCCTCAACCTGTGCCTTCTAGGGTCTTTTCCCTACCCAGACATCATCCCTTTTGTCCTCCACCAGCCCTGGAATGCAAGTTACTGTCCCAACTTTACTGATAAGGAAATTATGCTAGGACAGGAAGGCACATTGCTGATAAGTGGCAGGACACAGGCCCAGGTTGAAGGTGAGGTGATCACAGCCCAGAGAGGGAACTGACCCAATCCAAGTCCCAAGGCCAAACACTAGGGAAGGAATGTCACAGGGACCTTTACTCAAGAGACTAGCAGAAGGTGGGGACAGGCCAGCTATGAAGAGGACCCTGAAAACAGCCTCTGTGGCTGCCCATGCATGGTTTGGGCACCACCTCTGGCAGGTGTGCCTGGGGTCAGACATCTGGACTGGCAGCTGCCCTGGCTCTGAGACTTGGCTTTCAAGGCATCCTCATCCGCCTCACCTTCTCTTTTGAGGCTGGTCCAGCCGCACGTCCCAGCAGCAGCAGCCACCCTCACAACCAGCCAGCAGGTAGGCATCTGGGCAGGAGGCAACAGGACTGAGGCGCAGGGGGGTGGAGGTGGTATCGAGTGTGAGCAGCTGGCTGCCAGCAGGTGAGAGGGAGAGCATGAGGCCACGGACCCAGGTGTCTGCCCACCCTAGCAGCCAGCCCTCCTACCAGCTCTGCGCAAATCATCACCTGGCCTGGAATGTGTAATCTTCTTTGGGAACCCCGATGTCCCAGAGGATGATCCGCTTGTCATAGGAAGCCGCTGAGGAGGGGGCGAGAAGGGGAGAGGTGGCTCTGAGGAGGCCCTCTTCCTCCTGCAGTCTGAGAACATGGTTCCAAGGCCTGCCTCTCTGAAGCAGGGATGGAGGGCCATAGCCTACAAATTCTATCTTACTCTAACCTAATGTTTGCCACACCAGGCAGCCATCTTTTGTAGGCCTCTGCTCACACATCGCCCTCACTGGGCTCACTGCAACTGAAGGGCCAGGAATATCACCCCATAGAGTGGCCCAGGTTGTCAGAAAGCTCCAAGGCCACAGAGCAGGTTGGGGGAAAAGCCAGGATCTGAAGCACAGTCAGTTGTCCACAAAGTCACACTGCTTCTATCATGGCTGGAGCCAACTTTGGCAGCCAGGAGAGAGACTGCTAGCCACTGGAGTCCCCTACCATCCCAGGGAGGGAGCAATGGGGCATCAGGCTGCAGGACAGGGATACCGGGGGGCCCCTTGGGGTGTGGAGAGAGGGTCTTACTGAAGAGGTAGGTCTCATGGGTGGGGCTGAAGCAGAGGGTGGCAATGGCCTTCTTGTGGGCCCGGATGATCCCACAGCAGAAGCCAGCACGCACGTGCAGCAGCCGGACCTGGCCCCGAAGACCTGCAGCTGCCAGCACGCTCCAGCGCTTCTTGTGGCCTGCCTGTGTGACCACCATCAAGGCTGTCCAGGCCACCGAGAAGAACTCCTGAAAGGGGTAGGGTGGAGCAGTCACCAAGGGGCAGAGCTACCTGTGTGCACATGCACTCAAGATCAAATCTATGAAACTGAAGCCCAGTATCAAAGAAAAAGGTCACCTGGTGAGTAGGTGGCACTCCTCCCCCAGCACTCTGCCCAATGCCCTATAGGAGCAGGGCCCTGGCACTCACCTCGCCAGGTGCCTTGTACTTGTGCAGTACGATGCCTGTCTGGCAGTCTATCACACACACAGCCTCTCCGCCACACGTGGCCACAGACTGGGATGTGGCCTCTGTATGCCCTGTTTTGAGGGATCAGCCTAGTAAAAACATTTTCTGTAAAGTTTCCCCCTGCAGTTCCCTCCTCCTGGCCTTGACATTTTTTTAAGTTCTCTGTCCCTCCTGATTCCCCCATTGCCCAGGCAGCCCCACTCCAGGTGGCATTCCCGGGCACCCATCTAGAAAGCTTGCTCTGCTTGTTCCCTATGATCCTTGCCCTGCCTGCCCACCAAGGATGTACCCTCCTCCCAGGCCGGCTCGAAGGCGCAGGCCCAGAGCTGGGTTTTCAGGTCCTGAGGGCTGTTGTTCTTGCTGTGGCACTGCAGGAAGTATAGGGGCTCCAGCTTCAGGGCAGGCTGTGGGGGCAGAAGGGGGTTATAGCTGCCCCAACCCTTGCTCCCAGCCACACACTCCCTGCCACCTTGCTATAGCTCACCTGGCTGCCATCACAGCCCATGCTGTGGCCCTCCACCTGGGCCAATGGGGAGGTGCGCACCCGCTTGTTGGGAGAGAGGTTGAGAGGGACATCATCTGGCCGTTTCGAGGCCACTAGCCTGGCCTGTGTGGGGGAAAGGATGGCTGAGAGCCTGTTGACCATGGGCCCATCTACCCAGGGCTTCTTTCCTCCCTATCACAGGCTGGACCGCACCCTCTCATGGGTGGAGGAGATAAGCACTAGCCCAGGGACAGAGGGAATTAGCTTGGGCATCAGAAGCTGTTTCCTGAGCTCACTTCTAGGACACCCTGCTTCTCTGCAGCCTCCCTAAGTAGGGAGGGCCAAGGCAGGCCCCCAGAGCCCTGGGAGCTACACAGAACCACACTCACCCTGGGCTCCTGGACAGCTGTGGCTTTTGGGGACTTCTCTGGGATGTCTGCCTCATGCACCTGGGTCCTACCAGAGGCCACCAGTTCCTCAGAGATCATCCGCACCTGGGTGGGGCCAGGCCATCAAGAAGCTGGGCACAGTCCTGGGACTCCTTAGCCCCTCCTTAGCCTCACCTCAGTCAGAGGGAGCTTGTGCTTCCTGAGTTGGGAAAGGGCCTTTCCAGCCAATAGTGGTGCCCTTCCTGACCCGCCCCACTCCCCACAGCTCCTCATGGCCAGAGACCTCCAGGGCAGCACAGGGCATGGGAGCCAGCAAGGAGCTGGGAGAACAGTCTCTCAGTACAGTGGGGTGAGAACATACCCGCCACTGGGTGAACTCGCTGAGGGACTCGGGCCCGTAGCGGACATCCCTGACAGCAGACGTCACGAAGTCCGCCCGGGCTTTCTCAGCCTCCTCAGGGCTCAGTGAGGCCATGAACTTCTCCCAATGAGCTGTGACCTGGTACAAGAGGGATCAGATCCAGGCCCAGCCCACCCCTGGACCCTCCATGGCCTCTCTGCCCCCAATCTCGTGGCCACAGGTATCTCCCTCATTGCCTCCTGGAAGCCTCCCTAAACCAAAGCCTTCTTAGCTGCATGTTGCACAAATCTAAGCAACACACACAACCCCAGAAGGGAGAAGGTTGGTCTATCCAGGGTAAAGCTACTGTTAAAGTGTCTGAGCCTCTCCTCCTAGGCCCTGCACACCTGGGGAGGATACCACCCAAAGACAAAAGGCCAAGCACTGCAACCAGGCTCAGGGCAACACGTCAGGCTAGGGGCTAAGGGCCAATGGGTGTCAGGGAAGAGAGCCACTGTAACCTCCCTCAATGTCCTCCAAATGTCCAAGCCTGTCACTCATTCCTCTAGGCTCTCAACTGTTTCCAAGCCCCAGAAACACCTCTCAGCCCCCTTACTCTGCTGGTCAGCTCCCGGTTCAGGTTCTCCACTTGAGAGGAAGTGGAGGAAGCATCTTTGCCATTGACCTTACGCAGCTTGGGCAGGAGAAAGGAGACTTTCAGGTTGTCGCTGACCTGGAAAATGAGGGAAAGAATGGCTCGGGGGCTGCTGAGCCCGAGCCCAACAGAGTGCTGGAGCCTCTGGGCGAACCTTCTACTTACTGTCAGGAAGGGGTTGCCCTCCAGGCTGAGCTCCTCAAGTTCGGGGAACTGGCACAAGGCAGTGACGTCCCCCAGCTGGTTGTTGGCGCAGCGGAGGATGCGCAGGTGGGACAGGCCCAGGTTGGCAGGCAGCATCTCCAGCTGGTTGTTGGAGAGGTCCAGCTCCTGCAGCTGCGTCAGACGGCTCAGGAGCTTGGGATCCAAGTGCTCTGAGAGCAGCTTCAGTCCTGACAGGCTGGGGTGGGAAGCAGACAGGGAGTACTCAGAGGACAGGCAGGCAGGCCTCCAGCCCCACACCTATGGCAGCCCAGAATGCCTCAGACGGTTTTTTCACCTGGCATTTCTTGTGCATGCACAGCTTCTCCCCCAAAGCCTACTTTTTAAAATTTTGTAACTACTTTAAAAACGGCAGCTGGCCCCCTCCAGGATGCTTTTCCTTAGTCTCTGGAGGGCACTCCTTTGTGCTCTCCAGGCCCTCTGTACTTATCTCAGCAGGTTGGTCAATTCTTTTTCTGCACGACTGTTCTTAGCAGCCCGGGCCCTCTTCAGTGGTGAGGGCACTCGGGGCCTACCAAGCCTATCTCCTGACAAGGGGGCAGCGTTTGGCCCAAGTAATTACAGACTACGTCCAACCGACAGGGAGATAACGGGGCCAGGTAAGGGTCCCGGCCTCGCAGCCGAACCCCCGTCACCCCCGGCCCGCCTCTTACTCCAGGCTCCGGATTCTCCCCAGCCGGTCACTCTTGGGTCGTCCCCGCTCCATCAGCAGCCGCGCTGAGAGAGGGCCCATAGCGAGGAGGCGCGGCCCACGCTGGCTGTATCCGCGACACCGGCGTTCGGCGGAGCCCGTGACTCCCGGAATCGGCTGCTGGCGCCCGCGACTGGCGGAGCCCAGAAGGTGGCGCCGGCGCGAGTCCCTAGCGGGCAATGACCGGAAGGAAGCGGCCCCGCGGGCCTCGTGCCCCGCGCGCGAACTACAAGTCCCAGCGGCCCCTGCGGCCCCGCGCCTGCGCACTAGCTGCCTGGACGCTGCGATGGCGGCTGCGGTGGTGGCGGCACCCGAGGGCCTTCGGGAATGCGGCTGTAAGGGCATTCGGACCTGTCTGATCTGCGAGCGGCAGCGGGGAGGTGACCCACCCTGGCAGCACTCTCCACAGGTAAGGGCTGGGAGAGGAGGTGAGCCCACAACTTTATTCTTTATATAGAGAAATTGAGGCCCAAACTGATAATGAATACGGTCCCGGATCAAACTATGTTAGGGACCCTCGCAGTGGGTGCGATTGCGGGGAGTGGGGGGTGCGGTGAGGAGATATGGGCTTTGAGGAGCGAGCTTGGGGTGGGGAAGGGATTGGGACATGGGGCAGCCCGACCACCCTTCACCTCTGAGACCTGGGGGAGTCTGACAGCAAACCTCCACGTAACAACCCCCTCTCCTACCCCGCCCCTCCCGTCTGGGCCTGGGAGTTTCACGGGCCCGTGGGGAGACGATATGCAAAGAGTAGAGGGTGCCGAAAACCAGGGCAAAGTGCCCAGAAGACCCTGGATGGAAATAAGCAAGGAGGAAATTCCAATTAATTAACGAAAAACAACTCAGCATTTGAACTGGGCCTGGAAGTATTTTAGTTGTTTGGAAGGGCGTTCCAGCTGGCGAAACTGCTTGAGTATAGGCCTGGGGTAGAGGAAAGTGAGTGATGCTTCAGGTGAGGGAGGAGGTCGGTGGGGCCTGACCGCAGAGGGCCCTGGGTGTGGCCACGGGGTAGGCTGGACTGGTCCTGCGGGCCATGGAGAGCTCCTGAGGGTTTTAAAGGAAATTACATGTGAAGTTTAGAACAATCCTGGGAGCAGATAGGAAGGTGTGAAGGCTGGAAAGCCAGTGAAAAAACTGTCACAATGTCTCTGGTAAAAGTGTGGAAGATCCTGTGGAAAACAGAATGAAGGTTTTGCAGAAAATTAGAAGTAGAATTACCATATGATCCAACAATTCTGGGGGAATACCCAAAAGAATTGAAAGCAGGGTGTCGAAGAAGTATTTGCACACCCATGATGGAAGCAACCTAAGTGTCCATTGATGGATGAATGGATAAACAAAAGCAGTACATACAGTAGGATATTATTCAGCCTTAAAAAGGAAGGACGTTCTGATATATGCTGCAACGTGGATGAACCTTGAAAACACTTATGCTAAGTGAAATAAGCCAGTCATGAAAAGACAAATGCTATATGGTTCCACTTACACTACTTAGAGTAATCAAACTCATAGACGTGAAGTAGAACAGTGGTTGCCAGGGGCTTGGGGAAGGAAAAAGGGGAGTTGTTTAATGGGGATGTGATCTCCATTTTGCAAGGTGAAAAGGTGGTGGAGATGGTTGCACAACAGAGTGAATGTACTTAACACACTAAACGGTACACTGAAAAAATTATTAAAGATGGTAAGTTTTATGTTATTTATGTTTTACCACAAAAACTTTTTTTAAAAAGTACCAAAGGTCTGGCCCTGGCCGGTTTGGCTCAGTGGTTAGAGTGTCAGCCCGCAGACCGGAGAGGCCAGGGTTCAGTTCCCGCTAAGGGCACATACCTCGGTTGCAGTTTGTCCCCGGCCCCGGTTGGGGTCATGTGGGTGGTGACCACTCAATGTGTCTCTTTCACATGGATGTTTCTCTCTCTTTCTTCCTCCCTCTCTCCCTCCCACTCTATCTGAAGATAAATGCAAAAAAAAAAAAAAAGTACCAAAGGTCTGAACTGTGTCCCTGGCTGTGGGTGTGGAGACACAGGATACTCTGGGGATAGCACCTACCCAACCTGATGGCTGGGGGATGATCAAGATACTGGGATGACTCCCACTTTTTTTTAATCCTCACCCGAGGACATTTTTCCATTTTTTCGTTCAGATGGAGTGGGAGGGAGAGAGAGAGACACACACACATCAATGTGAAAGGGACACATCAAGTGGCTGCCACCTGCACGACCCAACCAGGGCCGGGGACAAACTGCAACCGAGGTATGTGCCCTTAGCGGGAACTGAACCCAGGTCTCTCTGGACCCCAGGCTGACGCTCTTAACCTCTGAGCCAAACCGGCCAGGGCGACTCCCATTTTTAACATGTCCCATGTGAGGTGCCAGAAACAGAAGACATGGTGGTTCAGAAATGGAGTGGTAGCCTATGGAACATAAAGGGGGAGGAAGCAGAATTAATTGGTTAGGGAGAACCTCAGACTACCATGTAGATCTGACAAAGTCATGGTCTACCTATTAGGGAGCTCCAATGCAAAGACCGCCTGTTAGAGGAATCCCATGTTGGGTAGAAATGGCCAGGTCCATGCTAGGTCACTGCCCAGAATGAAGATGGCCTCCTCTCAAAACCTGAGGCAGATCCTGGAGGCACTACAGCTGGAGATTGTCAACCCAGCTCTCTGGATAACTGACAAGTTTTGTTCTTTGAAGAAAAATTCAGGCAGTTCCTCTGGCTGCCACAAAAGAGGGCAGAACCCAGGGACATTCCACCTGGACTGGAGAGGGCTTCTCCCCTCTAGGCTGCTCACCCCCTGGACAGCCCCAGGGCTTCAGATTTGGGAATAGCATATTTCTCAAACTTCTGGTCTGGGCTGGATACTTTTACATCTTCTTTAATTCTCACAAGGCTGAGGACAGAAGATACCCAGAGCTACACAGAAACTGGACTTGCAGGCTGTTCCCCAGCTGTGCAGCCTCCAGCTAGTTTCTTACTTTGTTGAGCCTTGGTCACTTCATCTATAACATGGAGAACAAAAAATAGTTATGCAGATGCGCTTCCCTTTTATGGATGAGGAATGAGAGGGCCTTTCCCAGGAGGTAGCCCCAAGCAGGTGTTTGGCTTCCCTCTAGACTCTAGCTGCGTTGGAAGGATGAACCATTGGGCAGGGGCTGCTCCAGAGAGGGCCTCCAGTGGCTCCAAGACCCCTGTCTTTCTTTTACAGAAAACACATCGTTTCATTTACTACTCAGACACTGGCTGGGCTGTAGGGGCCGAGGAATCTGACTTTGAAGGCTGGGCCTTCCCCTTCCCTGGCGTGACATTGATAGAGGACTTTGTGACCCGGGAGGAAGAAGCTGAGATGGTGCAGCTGATGGACCGTGAGCCTTGGAAGCTCTCACAATCTGGACGGAGGAAGCAGGTAGGATGGCCCAGAGCTACAGGGGAGGGTCAGGCCTGGCAGAGGACAGTCAATTTGTTGGGCCCCTTTGCTCACCTTCCGCTCTCTGCCCTCCTCCGAAGCCATACTTGGGGTATGCCCAGCCTGCTTGGCCTGCTCACTTTCCCAGCAGGATGCCGGTGAGCCAGGACTCAAAGGCAGATGACCCCCAGCTCTTTCTGTTCTCACTCAGCTGGCCTAGTGTTCATGATTGTCAAGGAGGGTTCCTTGAAGGGTGCCAGATGCCTTCCTGTCTGAAGTTCTCTCCCTCCCAGTTTCACATATTTTCAGGCCACTAGGTCCCAGACCTCCCCTTTGTCCGGGATAACAGCCTCCTCTTCCCTCAGTCTCACTCCTCTCTGTCTAGGTCACTCCTTCCATTACTTATCTCCATCAGTCCTTGCCCCCACCAGAACCTGTGAGCCATCCATCGGCCACCTTTTCACTTTCTCTCCCCCTCCCATCATCTTTCCTTACCCTGTACCACAGCCAGTTATTATGGTCACTTCCTTGTCGTTCGCGTCATCATACTCTTTCTGCTCAACCACAGCCCTGGTCAAGTCCAGTTTCCCCCTCCCTCGCACCCATGTGCAGCCTGCTGTCAGGTCTCCCCAGCTCTGGGCCCTTCCTGCTCCTGCAGTCATACCTCCCTCCCCAGGTCATCGCTTTGCTGCTGTTCTTCCAAACATCTTTTCCTTCCTCACTCTGCTGATGACCTTGTCTCTCTGAGCAAACAAAGATGTATCTGCACATCTGTCTGCCATGAGTGGATACGGTTCTCTTCTCACCTGTGCCCAGGACTTCTCCAAGCCCCCCTCCAGCTGTGTGCTGGTTCCTTACACTCAGAAGACCTTGTCCAGCATTGCTCCCCTTTCTCCCCAGATGAATTTTGCCTCAACTGGATCTTTTCTGTCAGCTCCCAGTAAGCTCCATCTCTCTCATCTCTGCAACAGAACTCCTCAAGAGTTGTTTATTCTCACTGTTTTCAATTCCTCTCCTCCCATTCCCACTTAACGCGCTCAAAAACTGACCTCCATGCCCTAAACCCAGCGGCGGGTTCTCAGGCTTAGTCCTTCAGCCTCTTCTCTTCCTGTTCCAGATACCTCCATGCTGATCTTGGTGAGTCACGGCCCTATACACTGTTGCATGTTTCGGACTCCCATGTTCGTATCTCCAGGCCAGTTTTCTATTTGTCAGACCCTAAACTGAGCTTTGGCTGTTTGCCCACACCTGCACCCCTGCAGTGTCCTCATCACGGCAAATTCCATTTTCCACCTTTGCAGGCTGGAAGCGTGGCTCTCTCCAGGTTTCTCTGTCTCATTGTTAATGCTTGTCAGTTCTTTCTTCCTTTAAAACCTATCTGAATCTGACAACACCGTCTCCGCCACTGCCACCGCCACCACATGCATCCCAGCCCCCGGTTCCCTCCCCGGGATTCCTTCAGGGGCTTCCTGGGGTAGCCCTGGTCCCTCTTCAGTCAGTTTTCAATAGAGGGGAAAATGACTCCAGTGACGCCTCATCAGATCCTATCACTGCTCTGTTATAAACTCACCGAGCCTCCTGTCTCAACTTAAATACAAAGTCTTTACAGTGTCCCTGCACTGCCATCAGTCAGCCCAACCTTTGTTTTCACTGCTGCTGTCTGGTGTTCCCCACTCCAGCATCCTGTGTGCCTTAAAGGCCCCAGCTCCTCACCCCTGCCCGCTGCACTGTGGCTGCCTAGCATTGCCCTTCGGAGCCACTCACCCAGACATACCAGACCTGGAAGGAGAAGTTCCACCAGATGGAGCCACCTTCCACTAGAAGGGACCAGAGAGGACAGGAGTCGGCAAATAAATGCTTCCTCTTTCATACCTCAGGCCAAAAATCAGGCATATTCTAGATGGCTCCTCCCTATTGTTTTGTTTTGTTTTTGCTTTTTGGGTAGAAGCCACATACCATGAAAGTCACCCATTTATTTTTATTTTATTTTTTTATCCTCACCCGAGGACATTTTTCCATTTTTTGTTCAGATAGAGCGGGAGGGAGAGAGAGGAAGAGAGAGAGAGAGAAACATCGATGTGAAGGGACGCATCGAGTGGCTGCCACCCACACGACCATCCAGGGCCAGGGACAAACTGCAACCGAGGTACGTGCCCTTAGCGGGAACCGAACCCGGGTCTCTCTGTACCGCAGGCCGACACTCCAACCGCTGAGCCAAACCGGCCAGGGCTACCCATTTAAAATGTACAATTCAGTGGATTGGTTTTTAGTATAGTCACAATGTAGTACAGCCATTACTACTATCTTAGTTCTGGGGCATTTTATTACCCAAAAGAAACCCATACTCATTAGCAGTCCCCTATCCTGGCAACCACTAATCTACATTTTCTGCCTTTGTGTATTTGGCTATTATGGACATTTTTTTTTATTCTGGACATTTTGTGTAAATTGGATTATACAATATGTGCCTTTTTATGTCTGGGGTCTTTCACTTAGCTTAACTTTTCAGGGTTTGTTACTTTGCAGCGTGTATCATTGCTTTACTGCTTTTTTTTTATCCTCACCCGAGGACATTTCTCCATTTTTTTGTTCAGATAGAGTGGGAGGGAGAGAGAAACATCGACTTGAAAGGGACACATCGAGTGGCTGCCTCCCGCATTACCCAACCAGGGCCGGGGACAAACTGCAACCGAGGTACATTCCCTTAGCGAGAACTGAACCTGGGTCTCTCTGGACCGCAGGCCGATGCTCTAACCACTGAGCCAAACCGGCCAGGGCAGTGCTTTACTGCTTTTTTATGACTGAATTATATTCCATTGTATGGACATGCCACCATTTGTTTGTCCATCTGCTGGAAAACACTTGGGTTGTTTCCACTCTTTGGTCGTTGTGAATAGTGTTGCTGTGATCATTCATGTGTTAGTTTCTGTGTGGACTTTTCATTTCTCTTAGGTGTATACTAGGTAGACCTGCAGGGTCACGTGATAACTGTTCTCCCTCGTGGAGTCCCAGTTGTGCCCAGTACTCCCCCCACCTTGATGATGCTGCCATAATTGGCCTTTCCTCCCTCGCTGCTCATTCTTCCCAGATCCCAACTTCTCGGCATCACATCCTGGATACACTCTGGGCCTTTTCTCTCTCGCTCTGCGCTCTGGGGTACCTGGGCTAAGACATCCCCCAGCACTTTGTATCCCCCTTCCCTGCATTATTTTTTCTCTTCGCATTTAGAGCTTTCTCTTGTTTGCTGCTTATTTATATCTCTGTGATGTTGGCCTCTTCCTGCTGGAATGTCAGACCCACGAAGTCAGAAATGTTTGCTTTTCTTGGTCATTGTGATTAAATTCTTTTAAAATAAAAATTTTTTCTTTTTATTAATTTTTAGAGAGGAAGGGAGAGGGAGAGAGAGGAAGGGAGAGGGAGACAGAGAAACATCAATGAAAGAGAACATCGACTGGCTGCCTCCTGCATGCCCCCCACTGGAGATCTGGCCCACAACCTGGGCATGTGCCCTGACCGGGAATCGAACTGGCGATCTCTTGGTGCATGGGTCAACACTCAACCACTAAGCCACACCGGCAGGGCTGTGATTGAATTCTTTAGACCTAGTGTGTGATTGTGATAGCATTTCTGTAAACTCAGACACTTCTCCACTTACTTTTCGTCCTCATCCTTCAGGACTATGGTCCCAAAGTCAACTTTCGGAAACAAAAGCTCAAGACTGCTGGCTTCCAAGGCCTTCCCAGCTTTAGCCGGGAGGTAGTGCGGAGAATGGGCCTCTACCCCATCCTGGAGGACTTCCAGCCTGTGGAACAGTGTAATCTGGACTACTGCCCAGAGCGGGGCTCGGCCATCGACCCTCACCTGGATGATACCTGGCTATGGGGGGAGCGGCTGGTGAGCCTCAACCTTCTGTCCTCCACCGTGCTGTCTATGTCTCGGGAGGCACCTGGCAGCCTACTGCTCTGCCTGGCCCCATCTGGCTTCCCGGAAGCCTTGGTGGAAGGTGTGATGGCTCCCAGCAGGTCCGTCCTGTGCCAGGAGGTGGAGGTGGCTGTCCCTTTACCCCGCCGCTCACTGCTTGTGCTCACTGGAGCCGCACGGCACCAGTGGAAGCATGCCATCCACCGCAGACATGTCGAGGCCCGCCGTGTGTGTGCCACCTTCAGGGAGCTGTCGGCCGAGTTCTGTCCTGGTGGGAGGCAGCAAGAACTCGGACAGGAGCTCCTGCAAATCTCTCTCTCCTTTCAGGGGAAACCCATGTGAGCCACTTCCCTGGGGACAGCAGCTGGTACTGGGCCTGGCTGGGGTGCCAGTTCCAGAGTTGATCCTTTGCCAAGATTGAAGGGGGAGCCCAGCACAAGGGTCTTCCTCCCCAGCTCATTAGGTTTTCAGAGAAGACTGCTGACACCCTGACGCCGTGGCAGTGTGAGCCCTGCGGGAACTGGTTTTGAGGGGGACGTGCCTCAGGTCATTCCCCTTTGAGCTGCACTGTGGCCACTTGTTTGGGTTATTTAATTTGTCATAACTGAGGGAAATGGCATAATTTGAGTTTTAAAAATGTTGGCATCACTTAAAACCATTTTCTCCTTTATCCATCTCTTCAGTGAGATTTCCCGGTGCCCCACCCTCTGGTCCCTCCATTGGAGTAGCGTATTGGATCAGAGGATGGAATTGGTAGAAGATTTGAGGTTATTACTATTTCAGATTTCAGAGCTGGTGAATCAGACTCTGCCTGGGTCACGCTTGACCCAGCCTTGGGGTGCAGGATGCAGTGAGGACTGGGAAATCTCCTGAGAGTTTGGTACGCACATAGCCCACCCAACCCCTGCCCCACATAATGGTGTTAAAAAGTGGGAAAATTCTTTTCAGCCCCTAGGATAGCACAAGATGGTTTGCTGTCCGGTGCTGGTGCTGTGTGGTACTCACCTGGATGGGTAGCTGTTCCCATGCACCTGTGGCCAGGTGTGCAGGTCGTGGAGGTGGAGGGAGATGGCAGTATTCTCTGGGCCTGCATGGCCAGCCCTCTTGCCTGCTGCTTGTATGACAAAATGCACCTGGCTCACCCACCACATGCAGGAAGCCAAACGAGGGGCCAGTGCTCCAGCACAGCCTGGAAAGTTTTGTGGTTGGCACTGGCTTTCATATTCACTTGAACTTTCTGAGAGCTGGAAGGTTGGGGGAGGCACTGGCCACTGCACTGCCTGTGAAGGGGCATCATAGCTGCTGAGCCACTGGCTTGGACCGGAGGACCCTGTGCAGACCCAGTGGAGAGGCTGCTTGGGCTGCTGGTGGCTGCTGGGTGGGGACCATTGGGCTCCCAGATGCCTCAACTGCTGCTTCCTGGGGCAGCTTACTCAGAGTAGGAGGGTGGAGGACAGCTTCTTCCCAGGTCTTGTAACTTCCACGCCAGCCCTCAGGCCCCACTTTGGATTCCTAGCACTGAGCATTTAGGTACGAGCCTGGCTGGGTTCCAGCCAATCTCGCTGCATCTGAGCAGCCAAGCAGGCATGCAGGCATGGTGGTCTGCACCATGTGGGGAGCCTCTGCCCTGAGAGGCTGGGCCTTAGAGCAACACCCCCCTCACGGGGTGGAGCCTGCAAAGTACTCTGCCAATTAAGGTGGGAATGGATGTTTGGGAAATGCTGCACCCCATGATGTCAGGGAGGCCTATTAAGGCTGGGGAGTCACTCAGCAGAGAAGCCTATTATTTCTCCTGGAATCTCCTAGTGCTTGCCAGATGTTTGATGTTTGGCCTTTCCTACAGTCCTGCAGAGCACATTTTAGGAAATACTCCACACATGGTGAAGCTGGCGATCTGAGTCTGTCCTTGAAGCTGCTATATGAAGACCGTCAGGCCCCAGGTGCCCACTGCCTCACCTAAGCCACCCAACTGGGGTGGTGCTGGGGTCCGGCCAGGCTGGGGTGCTTCCTCCAGAGCTGCTCCTGGGCACCACTGTAGCGGCTATCCTGTATATTTCTGAAGGGCTGATCCCAGCAGCCAGAGCCTGGGGTACAACGTCTGCTCAACCCCCGTATTTTAGGTAGCTTTCCTGCTTCCCTTAAGCACCAGACGTTTGTGCTAATGCTCTTTTAGTCTCAGACTAGGTGAAGGCAGGAGCCTATGGGAACATATGAATATGGAAGCATCCAGTCCAAGGGTGGTTCCTGCAGCGTCCTCTTCCAGAATAAGTTGGGGAGAGTCTACTGACACTCCTCAGCCTGCGCTGCTTTGGAAAGATATTGAAGAAATGGGGCCGGTTATTTGTTCACAGGGTGGGGTAGTGAGGCCCAGGTTGGACTGAGCTCAGTCCAGGGAGGACCTTTGGGGTTATTTCGGCTGAGACTTGTGTAGAAACTGCCTGTACTGTGTCCCCAGCACCCTGTGGGTTCAGTAGGGGCTGGAAAGGATTCAGCATGTTTTAAATGGGCCTAGAGCAGAGCTGGGCTTAGTCCTGTCACATATCACCCTGCTGGGCCCTGCACCCTACCCCTCAACCTTCTGGAAGCATCTGAATCAGGAATCAGTCCTCTCTCAGCAGGTCAGCAGGACGGTTAGTGGCCTAGCTACAGGCTTCGAGGCTCACAGAGCCAGTTTGCTGGCCTGGAGCTCTGTCCTGAGCCCAAGCCTTTGGTGCCCCAGCGCCTGAGGAGTCCTCCCTCTGGCCTGCAGAGGCAGTCTGGCCCCCTGTATTCGCAGAACTTGTCCATATAGTGGAGCCAGCTGCTTTGCACACCTAATTCCTAGGAGCCTCTGGCTTGAAGTGCCAGAAAATTAGTAATGGACAGAAATTCTTTCCTAGAAGGAGGCCTCTAAGGTGACTGTTATAAAACAGAAAATCTGAGAGCTTCCTCATGAGTGCCACCAGGCCAAGGGAGGGTTCTGCATTACTGCTGCCCAGCTGGACACCTGGCCAGAGCCCAGAGCCACAGGTTCCCAGGGTTGGGAAAAGCCTGGTGGGACCAGAGCTTCAGTAGCACCTCTTCTGGAGAACTTCAAGCTGACCCTGTCCAGATGGCGCTATTGGCACTCAGCTGTAGTTGGGGCTACCCCTTGCTGTGTTTCTGGAAAGAGCCCTGCTTGGGAAGGGAAGATGCAGACAGAGGGGCCCCACTTGGCTGGAGCCTCATGGTATATCTGGGTCCGAGTGCCCTGTGCTGTCTATTCCAGAGAAGTCCCTCACCTGGGAAGCCTATTAGGACACTGGCTGGTGACCAGCAAATAGGAGGCAGGTGGGGCTTGAGGATCCAGACACCAGGGAAGGACCAGGGGCTATCCATGGCATTCCACCAAAAACAAAAAGAGCAATGCATAGTTTGTTTATTCAGTTCAATCCAAGGCAACTTTTAAAAATCCATACACAGGACAGTGGTTCTGCACACCATGTGTAATCAACAGTGTCATGCATAATGAACTAATCAGCACAAGACAGGTAAAGACTGCAGATGAACCTCCACCCACTCAGGCTTCTGCGGTTTTACCCTCCAAAGACCTTCCTAGAAGACACTAAAATACGTTCTGCCCTCAGTTTCTAAAATAGAAACACAAGCTTTGAAACTTCTGGTCAGGTACTAAATGGAGACTGTGTTCACTTTGGAACAGGCCTCAAGTATTTGCAGGCATTTGTTTTATGAGCACCAGGAAGGCTCTGCTTGGAGGGAAATAGGGCAAGCCCACACTGGCCCTTGGGTGGCCCATGGCATCTCACCACGGAGAGGCCCCTGCACTGGGATACTCCACAATCACGTTAAACCTCCGGAATCCAAATTTCTAGCCTGTAATTTGCCATCTCCTCCCCTAAACTGACCTGCTGAGTTGTTCCTGCAGCTCCAACTAGCAGCTTACCCTCCACCTTCTGACAAGCTCCAGGGCTACCCTGAGGTTGTCAGCCCCCACCCCACCCCACCCATCACAAGTCCCCAGACTTGCTGTCATCTCTTCCCACAGAACTTCTTTGCCTCCTGTCTCTAGAAAGTCTGGAGCTAGGAAAGCACTCTGGATGACAGAACAAGAAATTACAAGAACGTCCCTCTCCCAGTGTTTAAACATGGTATGTGGCATCTTTCCTCTTCATGTGGCACTGTCATTGGGCACCTCACATCTCACCCTGTTGTGGCCAAGCCCAAAGCTCTGCCCATGGATCAGGCATAATGGGCCCCCACTGGCACTGGGGGTGTCCTTTCCAGTGTGGGGAGCATGGCACTCCATGGGTCTGGCACACTTGGGGTAGAGGTTCCAGTACGGCCCCTCAGAAGGCTCAGGCCAGAGTAAGTGCTTGCTGCCTGCTTCCAGCCGTGGGGAAGAGCCAGCTCGTTTGGTCACTGCAGGACACAAAGTGATGCTGACATTCTTTTGCAAAGCAAAGCAAACACATTAAACCAGATAAGCCTTTTCAACAAGGCTGTGGGAGAGGAAAACATGCACTAGAGAGCACGCAAGTCACGACAGATGTCTGCAGAAGGTGCAAGGGGCACGCCCTTTAGCAGACGCCAGGGCGCTTCTCTGGCCTGGCGGGACACCATGTCCAGACTCCCCGCAAGTGTGAGCATTTCAGAGTTATAGGTTAAGGTTCATGTTCGCAACAGTAGGTCATATTCCCAGAAACAGCCAGGGTTTTTGGACACAGGCAACCCAGACCCCACAGAGAGATTAAGCTGTTGATAGATATGCCATCAGAGCATGAAGTCCAATGAGGATTTGTGAAAACAAACAAAATGGCCCCCTTCAGGTGGCTGCCGGCCAATGTGGTACAGCGTGCTCACATGTAAGCTGAGCTGTGGCCTGTATGCGGGCAGCCCAAAACACGAGCAGGACAACCAGCCGCCATCGGTGAAGACACCAGAGCCCATGCTCTGCACCGCAGTAAATGTGGGAGCGGGGCCCTGGAGCAGCTGAGGAGCCTGGGGGTCCAGGAGGGAGCAGTATGTGGGGTCATGTCTTCTCTGCAGTTGTTCCATGTCATGAGCAAGACCCACATTTGGCCAGAGCTGGCCCCTGGTGCCACCACCCACAGACCACCCAGGCCAATGGTCTTGTCTAGATAGGAAGTCCCCAAGCTGCCCCTTCCACTGCCTGGCACCACTGGCAGCAGGAAATGGGCAGGCTCTGCCACCTGAGCAAGGTCCCCGGCCTTCTGTGGCCAAGAGAGGCCTCTAGACTCTGGGCCCTTCCCAACCTGGTGGCCTTGCTGGGTCAATGTGGCCAGGGTTCCAGGCTGGCTGGGAAGAAAGAATTTGAGCCAGTGTGCTTGGAGTACCCCTTAGTTAACAGCCTCCTCAAGTGGGCTGCTCCCAGACATGCCTCCCCGACCCTGCCAGGCCTCCAGCCTTGGAAATCTCCCCCAGGCCCTGCCAAGTCTGCCACCTCCTGGAGTACTCACCACACTTGCTGGACTGACGTGTGCCCCAGGCTCCTGTCTGCCCACATGCCAGGCCACCCAGCTCCCTCCAGAGCAGGGGAGGGAAGCACCAGGCCCACCTGTAATCCTGTGCCCACCTAATCACCACAGTCCCCACCTAACACAGCAGGCTGGTACTATCAGATGTGCCACCAAGCTGCCATGCAGCCCACCTGAGCTGTCATGGGGCAGTCCTCTGAACTCAGCCCTACCCTGACTCTCTGGGCCTCCATCAGGCTCCCCGTCTGCTGGCCGCTAGTTCCACATCGCTGGGATGGCCACAGTGCTGAAGCCTTGCCTCCCGTCTCAGGATTTCCCAGGACCAAGGGCTCAGCTCTTCTTTGCCCTCAGCTCTTAGCAATGGAGTTTCCCATGGAAGAATTTCCATTTTCTGAGGGAAAATGATCCAGGTTTTACAGCATTAAGACAGGAGTAAAACTTTGGTCTTGAACTATCTGGCAGTGTCTAGACAGCCTCATGGCAATTTACATTTTTGAAATTCCCTCAAAAGCAGGCCGTTTCTGTTGGCTCCCAGCCCCTGGGGAACTGCATCCTTACACAACCTGCAGGCTGCGCTCGTGCCCGTCCAGCTGCACCTTGAGCTTGTGTAGCTCCTCAATCTCGCGGTTGTGCCGCTCAGTTTTGTGGCGCACCAGCGAGCGGTAGAAGTGGATGGTGAAGACCACAAAGATAAGACCCACGGGCACCATGATGATGGTGGACACGAGGGCGGCCTGCCAGCCCGTGTGGCCACCAGGGCCGGGTGCAGGACCGGGCTGGGGGCGTGCGTCCACAGGCAGGAACTTAATCCAGCAGAGCAGCACGACCTCAGCCAGGAAGAGCAGGATGCCGAGCACGGTGGAAAAGCCCCAGGCCAGCTCGATGTAGGGGTGCATGCGCTCATGCGGAGACTCGCTGATGGAGTTGAGATTGTGGATGTTGCTCACGGCCTCCACGTTGGGCAGGATGCACGTGCTGATGAGTAGGGCAAAGAGGTGCACCGCCACCAGCACCGTTGTGCAGGCACTGAAGGCGATGAGCAGGGGCGGTGGGTACTGGTACTGTGTCTCCAGCTGCACCTCCACCATGGCCACCTGCAAGGCAGAGCAGGTGCTGCTGGGCTGGGCAACCACCTTCCAGGCCCTTGCAGAGCACAGGACACCCTCCTCACTGCTCAACTATTTTGAACTTTACTTTTTTCTGATTAGCTAAAGAATATCTCACTGAGCACAGGGTGAGGCAGGGTCACCCTCTGGGTGCCCTTCCAGACACAGAATGTAGGATGTATCTGAGGTGCCAAGCTACGAGCCAGGGCAGAGGCCACACTTCCCTGGAAACATGTGGCTTTGCTGTTGATATCAGAACCAGGATGCAGTGTGGCTTAGCTGCAAAAAAAACCACCCACCCTGTTGTTTTAAAAAAAAACAAAAAACCACCTGGCTGGTGTGCTCAGTGGATTGAGCATCATCCCAAGGACTGAGAGGTCCTGGTTTGATTCCCAGTCAGGGCACATGCCTGGGATGCGGGCTCGATCCCCCATGAGGGGGTGTGCAGGAGGCAGCTGATCAATATTTCTCACATCGATGTTTCTCTCTCCCTTCCTCTCTCTCTATAAAATCAATAAAAATATTTTTTTAAAATAAAAATTAAATAAATAAAAACTGACCTTTCAAAAGGTAAAAAAAAGTAAAAACAGTGGCTCTTGATGGTGCCGACTCAGAGCTGCAAACCCAGACAGCCTCACACAGACCACCGGGTGCATCTCTCAGCTGATGCCAAAAGCCAGAGAGAAACCTGCACATATATCTGAAGGCCAGGAATGGTGATGGACATGAGGACCATGGCCAGGAGGGGACGCGATGGGAAGGGGCCTGGGCTGGGAAGAGTGAGCTCCAATCATCAACCATAGTCAGGGGATCCCAACAGGTAACTTCTAAAAATGATAAACCAAGAAACAGCAGTCTCCAAATGCCATTTGGAAGTATGGAGACTGAGAAGGCTGCGAGAGGCTGCCCCGGGGAGTGGGGAATATGAGTGCTGGGGTTGTAAGCCTTTCCGCAGTACAGCTGACCCTTGAGCAGCACGGGAGTGTAAACGGACTCATGTAGTTCAGACCCGTTTTCAAGTGTCTACTGTACTTAATTTGTAAACGCTGCACATGTAATAACTGATAAAGATGATTTTTTAAACAAAAAGGAAAAAAACACAAAGGGAACCAGAAGAAGCCCCAGCTTATCTCTGTACCAGTGAATGCCTATAGCCATTTAGGCAGCATCTCACTCCAGGCCCTAAAGGGCTTTCAAACTACAGACTGAGCAACATGCTCCTGCCTCTGCCAGGTCAGACCCCGTCCATTCAGAATAGCTCCCTCCGAGACCCACACCCTACCACGCTATCACCCCAGCACTCAGCACTATGGACCTCCCCAGTGGAGGGTTTAGTACAGGCCCAGCAAGGACTCAAGCTCACCAAGGGCCTTCTCCCAGGCACCTGAAGGTAAGAAACCAGACCAGGAAGGGGGTGGGAGGCAGAAGGAGAGAAGCAAGAGGAAGGATTTTCCATCCACTATTTGCCTCCTGGATGTAAGTCAGCCCTGTTTTTAAAAATTAACAAGAAAGCCCTGGCTGGGTAGCTCAGTCGGTTAGAGGGTTGTCCTGATATGCCACGGTTGTGGGTTCAACCACAGCTCAGGGCACATACAACAATCAACCAATGAATGCATAAATGAGTAGAACAACAAACTGATGTTTCTCTCTCAAAATCAAGAAATACATTTTTTTTAAAGTTAAAGAATTCACAAGTTCTAGCAACCACCACCTCTTAGAGTGAGCACCTCATCCCCTCAGTGGAGATGGAACATTTGAGAGTTAAAAAGAAGATACAGCCCTAGCTGGTTTGGCTCAGCGGTCAAAGCATTGGGCAATGGACCAGAGAGTCCCAGGTTCGGTTCCCACTCAGGGCACATACTTTGGTTGCAATTTGTCCCCGGCCCCGGATGGGGTTGTGTGGGTGGCAACCACTCGATGTGTGTGTGTCTCTCTCTCCCTCCTGCTCTATCTGAAGATAAATGCAAAAATGTCCTCGGGTGAGGATTAAGAAAAAAAAGATACAGCAGTTCTAGTGGACCATACCTGAACAGAAATTCAGTAGTGAATATTGTTCCAAAAAGATAGTAGCCAGCCCAGCTGGTGTGGCTCAGTGGCTGAGTGTCGACACATGCACCAAGTGCTCGCCGGATTGATTCAGGTTGTGGGCCAAGTCCCCAGTGGGGGCCATGCAGGAGGCGGCCAATGGATGTGTCTCTCTCACATCAATGTTTCTCTCTCTCTCTCTCCACCCCCCTCTCCCTCTCTTCCACTCTAAAAAAAATAAAATCAATAAAGAAAAAATATATATAGTAGCCAATGACAGGAGTTGAGGGAGTGGTCTTTTCTCAGTGTCCCTGGGGCCTGGGTAGGCTCTGGCCCAACAAAAGGATGTTGTAAACCACAGAGGGCACAGAGATGAGAAACGAAGATAATTAAAAGGCCTACAAAGGAAGCAGTTTTATTCTGCCTCAAGAGGAGAAAAAGCCAAAAGGCTATTTTTCATTTTGTTTATGTAAAGATTTTAAGAGGGGGTCTCAGATCACTGGTTCTCTGTTAGAAGAAGAATAAACATGAAGAAATAAGCTTAAGGTTGGGCATAACTGCGTATTGTTGGACAAAGGAAAAATTTTGCAATTCTAAAAGAGAATACATAGGATGAAGAGGACTCCACCTAGCAAACTGCCTATTTTCATTTCCCATGAGCTTATTTGGCTATGGTTTTCATGGCCAAATGCTATCTGGTGATCTGTATCCCTTGCTTCTTTTTCCCAAGCTGCTCCAGTCTAAACAGTTAACCTGATTTACTGGTGGTCTATTAATCTAATCAAGCGACAAGCTGCGCCTGCTTTCCCCACGCGGGACTTGCTCCATGCTGTTTCACCACTGTGGTGGAATCTCTGGTGCATGCATGGTAGGGTGGGGCAGCCTTCCTGAGAGAGACCTTCTAGAAGAGAAGGCAAAGGCACTGTGTGGCTTCTAAAATGTATTTCCCGGCTGCTTAATGAAGCACTTGCTGGTACACAGGAGATACTCCATAAATGCTGAAGAAATTAATTACTACTGGGAAGTATGACCGCCATTGCCAAGCTAAGGACAGAGAGCACTCTGGGGTCCACATCTGGGATCCTTGTCACTCAGAGGTCACTACTCTCATTCTAAGACCACTGCATACCTGTGAAGGCCTGTCAGTATGTCTCAAACTACTCCTCCAGAATTCACTCTGATAACTTTATTCAAGGGCTAGTTTTCAAATTTTGAATGAGTGGTTTTAAAGCCTTCAACTTGGACAACCATTTTGTTGGCTGGAAAACAAGGAAGCTGCCCTAAGTTTGGAAATCCAAATGTTTGGAAGGCCAGGGTCTAAACACACAGCTGCACACAGGAAGCAATTCCCAAGATCCAGGCCCCACACAGAAAGGAAACTCTCACTGCATTATGTCATTCAATACTTCCCAGAGTTTGTTTTGCAGTTAAAAAAGTTAGTGTAGCCCTGGTTGATTTGGCTCAGCAGTTAGAGCATCAGCCCAAGGACTGAAGAGTCAAGGGTTTGATTCCTGGTCAAGGGCTTGTACTTCGGTTGCCAGTTCAATCCCTGGCCGTGGTTGAGGTCATGCAAGAGGCAGCCAATCGATGTCTCTCTCACATCGATGTTTCTCTCTCTCCCTCCCTCCCACTCTATCTAAAAATCAATGGAAAAATATCCTTGGGTGAGGATTAAAATAAATAAGTATAGGCCAGCAAAATGTAATGCAATACTATATAATTCTGTGGTGTAGAAAACAAGCTCTAATTTTAATAGTGATGTTTATACTTCTCACACACATTCCTTAAAATTAAGCTTGTGAAAATTCTGTTTTTTTAATGTGATAGAAACCACAGGAAGAAAATATGAGCCAAAGTTGTGTACAATATGACTGTATACTTTTGTAATTATGTTTAAAAAAAAAAATGCAAGACCTAAATAAGCCTTTGCTTTAACTAGATCTAAACCCAAATTTATTGCCTCTCAGTTTGGTGACCTCTGCCCCACCCTGTATGAAGTCATGTCCTGACTGTGTAGGGTCTCATTTTTCCAAGGGTGGCCCTACCGATGACCAAGGAATGGCCACAGTGGCTTACTCTGATGGCTTTTTATTTTCTTTTTTTACTCTTAGGAGTGTTTTTTTTTTTCAAATGTTTTTATTGATTTTTTTAGGGAGGAAGGGAGAGATAGAAACATCAATGTGAGAAACATCAATTGGCTGCCTCCTGCACACCCCCTACTGGGGACCGAGCCAGCAACTGGGCATGTGCCCTGGGAAAAGAACTGGGACCTCTCAGTCCATGGGATGACGCTCAATCCGCTGAGCCACACCGGCTGGGTGACAACTTTTTATTTTCTGCACTACCAATTTGTCAAATGAGGCTCTGGACTATAGAAAAACAACTGTTTTTGCATTTAAAAGCCTGCTTCTGGCCCAGTAGGACCTCTGAGCGCACAACAGAAAGGTGGCCACAGCCCCAGAAATTCTAACATCTTAATCTCTAGAACAATTCCCAAGCAGGATGTAGGTTGAGGGCTTTGGAGTCAACAGTGCCCTCAGTGTTGCCGGAGATGGACTCTTGTCCTGGGGGATGACTCGAAAGGAAAGCCACAGGTGGGCAGCTGGGAGGAAGGCCAGAGGCTCTGCTTAGGTACCGCAAAGGCCACATTTGGGAGCATCTGCACCCAGGTTGGGCTACGCTGAGAAAACCCAAATCAATCCACAGTTCCTGCACAAATCCTTGAGATTTCCAAACTCTTGGGTGGTGCCTGAGATGGGTAGATGTGGGTATTTTTCTCCAGGAAACCCTGTACCCTGAAGCTATTTTAACTGCCACCATAACTTCCTTGCCAGGCAAATACTTCACGTGAAGGCCAGAGTGGCTCTTGCTGTGGGCTCTGAGGCTTGGGCGCTCTCCTGCATCCCCTGGCAACCCCTCTGGTTGACAGAGCAGTCACGGCCACCTTGGAGGAGATGGGACAGGGAAACTTCCTAATGCTCTATCCTGGCTGCCAGTAGGGCCCAGAGGGAGTGCTTTGCTCCCTGAAGCATCACAGGGTATGGATTAGCCACAGCCCATTTTGCAGGCTATGTTCCCACCAAGTGTTTGCACTCACCATGGCAAAGCCCGAGAGGAGAGCAGAGGTGCGGCTGGAGGCTTTCAGTTTGGCCCTGCTCAGGTACAGCTTCCTCCAGGAGAGGGCCTGCACGGAGTGGTGATTGGAGGTGACTAGTTCCAGGTAGCTGCGGCGGACCCAGTCCCGGTAATCCATGCCCTTGTGGCCGGGCTCAGAGCAGGCGGGGGTAGACGGGTCCACGGGCACATTGAGCTCAGCACTCATGATGGGAGCCAGGCTGAGGGCAAGAGAGAGACACACTCAGCCATCCCAAAGGGTTCCTTGGGCTGGAAAAGCCAGAATCCAACCCAGTTAATCTTCTCTGGGGCCCACTGTATACACCCTACCCTAGAGTCAGGAGGACCAGAGCGTGTGAATGCGGGGGGCCCTGGTCTCGATGCAGTCTCCACACTGGAACATGTGGACCATCTATAGGAGAGGAGGGTCAGGAGTACATTTCCAGAACCACCAGTGTCCAGTGTTCCTCCACAAAGCTATAATCTGGCCTCCCAGCCCCAGCTCAGAAGGGTTTCAGCTGAGTGTGGCTCTTAATTCACCCAAGAACACCTAAGACAATCCTCCAATTTGCACCTACCTTCAGGGAGTAGGGAGCTGTAGCATTTAGAAAGATCCTAAGACCTCAAATTGCCAAGTGTGGGTTTGACTCGACTGTGTGATGCTGAACATGACACCTGACCTTGCTGACCTCGCTCATCTTCAAATTAGGACATCCCCACCCTATAGGGCTCTTAAACAAGATAAAGGACCTGTACACTCAGAACTGCTTTTTTTTTAATCCTCACCTGAGGATATTTTTCTATTTATCTTCAGATAGAGTGGGAGAGAAAGAGAAACATCAACGTGAGAGGGACATATCGACTGGTTGCCTCCCGCACGACCCCAACCAGGGCCAGGGACAAACTGCAACCGAGGTACATGTCCTTGGCAGGAATCGAACCCATGACTCATTGGTCTGTAGGCTAATGCTCTACTGCTGAGACAAACCGGCCAGGGCTCAGAACTGCTTTTCAATATCCAGGTGTCAACCATGAAATACACCTTTCCAGGCAGCTGCTACTTTCTCAAATCCAACTTAAATTTTATTTTTATTTTATTTTTTTCTTTATAAACCCTCATGAGGAGGGCTAACTTTTATTTTATTTATTTATTAATTTTTTTGTGGTACGTGCCCCTAGCGGGAACCGAACCCAGGACTCTCTGGTCTGCAGGTCGACGCTCAACTGCTGAGCCAAACTGGCCAGGGCAAGAGGAGGGCTAACTTTTAATAGACTGCAGTGAGGGAGCTGCTCTGGTCATATATGAATGGTTTAGCACCAGGTTCCCCACAAACATGCAACGTGTGTGGTGTGATGAGGGAGAAGGTGGCCACCTTTCCCGCCATGCCCTATTTCCCGGAGGAGGGACTCTCCCCACGGACCCCACCTCCACGCGCAGTGGGGCGCCTGTGTGGTCGCTGGAGGACTGGCTATTGGAGGGCAACTGAGGCTTTTCAGAGCTGCCTATCACTCCGCCTGGTGGGATTCACTTAGAGAGGCACTGAGTCATAATCCCACAGATGGTAGTTTCATCCCACTGGCTCCTCAGCCAAGCACATATACCAAATGCCTGAACCTGAGGTTCCAACTCAAAATTTAATCAGCACGATTCACCAAAAAATAACTTGGTTTGTATACTTAAAGTACAGCCACATCCAGGCTGCAATGGAAACATTTAACAAAATGAAAAATTAAATCCACCAACTGACATGAGAATGTTTTACGAAGAAATGGAGACTAGAGACCCCTGGAGTTATCCCAGGTAAACACCTAGTGTGTCAATAACGTGGAATGAAGATCAGAAGGACTGATTTGTCGAGATTGTGAATTTAAACCCAAATCTCCACTAATCCAAATGGGGATTGGTGGTCTCATGTGGCCCAAGGGGCTGGCCTCTTTGGCAGCATGCTGGGATCAGCTCTAATTAATCTGCAGGGCAAGCTTCAAGGACACAGGCACCTCACAGCTCAGTTAGCATCAGATATTAACTTGTACATTTAGGCCCCAATAGGCCCCATGAAAAGCCTACTTAAAACTATTACAAACAGATCAGGGTTTCTGGATCCCAGGGAGCATGGCTGGGGATGGGTGGGTGGGGCCAGGGGTGTTTACCAGGGTCAGCAGCTGAGGAAATGACCCAAACCTGATCCACCCATGCCAACCTCTAAAAAGGTTCTATGGGAAGGTCCTGGAAGTTGGAAGAGCTCTGTTTTGGGGTTCCTTCCTCTCTGTTCACTGCCAGGCTATGGAGGCACAGCTTTTACTGGCCATAGGACCCAGGGGAACAGTTCTGTGCTCTTCTGTTTCTGCTAGGGATGTCAACTACTAGATTATTTCTAGGAATGCCTACTTGGAAGCCTTGGTCACTGCCCCCTTGCCCACATCTGTAGCCAGCGGCACTACTTTAAAGCACTTTAATAACTGGAAGGTCCCTTCCCTGAGGGAGAATTCAGAGGAATGTTGCTCATTAACCAATCCCTTGGTTAGCTCCAAATAATTGAGAATGGCATCATTTGGAAATGCACTTTTTCTTTAAATTTTCCATATGTAACAGAAGTGGGCCTACAGGTAAGATAAAGACAGTATACTGCATGTGGAGGGGTGAAAGGCACAACCTTTGTCCCCTCGGAGCATCTATCTCTCCATCCAGCATTACAGAGATGCTTACTGGGCCCTAAAGTAAGGCAGCATTTGGTATTTAGGCATCAAAGATGACAAAGGTGAAGATCCTGTGAGTTTCTGTGTCCAGTGGGGGAGCAGAAGGAAGTGATTCTCATCAGATGAGCTAAATGCTTTAGTGGAGGAGGTGTGAGGGCAGAGGAGGTGCTGACCGCTTCAGCTTTGGGCAGGGAAAAAGTCCCTTCTAGAGAATAAGGATAGAGGATAAGGACAGAGGTAGTGAAGGCAATATTAGCAAAGAGGGACTCTCCCTCAAAGACAAGATGCTGCCCATGTGGGAGGGTTCTGAGAGGCAGGGTAACATGGCAGGAAGTCTGGCTGGGGGGGGGGGGGGTCAAGGAAATGGGGGGAGGGGGGAGGAGGCAGGGGGTACTAGAGCCCTGGGCTGTCTAGGCAGTATGACTGCTGGGCTTTCTCTGGTAGTACATTGTGTGGATCATGGAAGAAGTTAACCTGGGGTCAGCCTGCTCTGTGTGCCCAATGAAATGGCAGAAGGGTCTGGTGGCCTCCAAAAACACAAAAATATGTATGAGGTAAAGAAAAGGGAAGCCCTGGGGCCATCAGTGAGCAGGGGCTGGGCTCAAGTTCCAGGGTGGAGATGGAAAGCTTTCGGGGCAGTGAGGTCTGACAGTGGCCTCCTGGAAGTGGCCAGGCAGTCCCAGCAGTCCTGTAAACATCCCCAGAGTGGCAGGGGAGGAAAGGAAGGGCTGTCTGTCTGCTTGGAGCCTGGGCACTGAAGATAGAGAAACCACTTCCTGCAAAGGGAGCATCCCAGACCTGATTCAAATTCATCCTCTCCCTGCCAGCCCCACTGTCCTCCCTCATGCCACACATCCCCTGCCCTAGAAGGGGCAGAGTCTGGTCCTCACGCTCAACTGGGGGGGAGGGGTAGTGAGGGGCAAGATGGAGCCCGACATTGCAGTCAGGTAGCAGAGGCTCCAAAGGATGCTGTTCTGGTGGAACCTTGAAGGGTTTTTGTTTGTTTCCACATAAGGAAAGTCAGAGAAAGGAGAGGTCTGGTATACTAACGGGGACTCTAGATTGAAGACCCTTCTTGGAAGGCCTGTTTCAAACACAACCAGAGGGTGGGTGTGGGGTTTGTCTGTTTCGACTTCGTTTAAGCATCTGGGGCTTGAGCAATGGCGAGTGCCCCGCAGAAACGTCTGTTTCTCATCCTCTCTGTCACACCCGTGCGGGTCTCCCAGAGGCGTCCATCTGCATCGCTGTCCTTCCCCCAGGGAAGCCCCAGAGGCCGCAAGACCCGGACTCCGCCCGCGCCCCCGACTTCCCGGTCCTCTGGGCGCCGCAACCCGCCCAGGGATCCCGCGGGGTTGGGGTCACCTGGTCGCCACCCTCCACCCCACAGCCGTCCCATCCTGAGCCTGCCCAGGAGAAAGCCCGTTCCCTCCCCTGCCGAGTCTCCCGGTACAATTTCGGTCTCGCAGACGGGCGGGACCCGGCTGCCTCCTCCAGACCCCCAGCGACGCGCACTCACCGAGCTGCTCTGCCCGGCCGGCCCGACTCCGGTTCGGCTCGGGTTCCGCTCCAGCTCGCTGTAGGCAGGGGCTCAGGCTTGGCCCTCTGGCCCCGTGGCCCGGCCAGGGCTCCGAGCGCGGTCCCCTCCCTCCTTCCGCAGGTCCGCTGGGGTCCCCCTCCGCTCCGCCTCCGCCTCTGCCTCCGCCCGTTGTCCCGCCCCCCGCCCGCCGCAGCCGCTGCCAGGGCAACGGCGCGCTACCGTCATGTGACCCGCCCTCGGGGGCGCGGCGGGCCACGTGACCCGGTGGGCCTGGAGGGGCGGGGCCCACGGCCCTTCCCTGGGGGTCCGAGGGAGTCCTGCGGGGTGGACCCTGTTCCTGCCCACGCACGAAAACCTTCACGGGTGCGCATCTCTCCTATGCCCTGGAGCACCTCGGGTAGCAGTGGGCAGGGATTGGTGCAGCCGGGGGAGCCGGAAGCCCGGGCATCCCACGCTCTCCCGCCCCGCGGCCAGCCGCGAGGCCGCCTGGAGCCCCAGTGACAGGGCGATAAGGCTGCGCTGTCTCAGCCTAGGTCTGGCCAGGAAGTCCAGGGCAAGGCGGGCCCTGCCCGACCCGACGTGTGGGTCTAAGCGCAGAATAGGACCACAGGGTTTCCAGGGTGGGTCTGGGAGGATGCCCAGGACCGATCATTGGCCTTATGGAGGGGTGGGGAGAGGCCTACAGGACGCACCCTGCAAAGAGAGGAAACAGGGATCCCGTTATCCGACTACAGGGCAGGCGGGAGTGAGGTGGGGAAAGTGGAGAAAACGAGTGGAAGGGCAGACTGGGAAGGGCCCAGGCAGCCACGCGCGTTTGCCCGGGTGGATGGTGCCAGGGCAGTTCGCGAGCTGGAGCTGTCAGGTGGTCACCCAAAGCGCAGCCCCCTCTCCCAGGCCCTAGGAAACCCGCCCGGGACCCAAGCCGGGTGCTGCACTCTCGGGATTCTAAACCTGGTGACCGCACGCGGAGCTTCTCAGACTGCAAGGCACCTGGTGAAAATGTCTCTGCGGTACCCTGGCCCCTTCCATCCGCTGCTGCAGGGAACCTCTCACCCGCAATGGTGAATTCTCCAACCGAGATACTCAAACAGGAATGATCTTTTCAGGAAGTACACGTGAATGATTCACTACGAGGCGGGATGCGTTCATAGCAAACTGCGGTGCCGTGCGGTGCCGTGCCAGACTGCCCCTCAGAGTCCTTCCTGCATGCCCTACATAGGATTTTTCCATCTGTCACACAGTACTGAACTGACACACTTATCCAAAAATTATACCTTTTGATCCAGGAGGGCACTTTCAAAACAGACTAAGCCAGTTCCCCCTACTGACCTAACAAAGGTTATAGGAAAATCCTGGGGTCTGATTACTGCCCCACCTCCATGGCTATATAGGAAAGGGATCATTTGAATTTCAGGGGGCAAAGTACTAAAAAAACCATACTGTGGCTTTCACAACTCAAAGCTCTTGATAAAATGACCTGCAAAAACAGGAAGAAAACCACTAACCTACAGAAGTTGTGTCATAGATGAGAATTCTTTCAGCAATGAAGTCATTTGCTTGTCGAGTTCTCAGCCTTGAAGCCTGAGTGCACATCCTTTAGTTTCCTATGCTAGTCAGCCATGCCTCCACCCTAAGCACATTTATTCAGCATGCCTGGACAAAAGCAAAATGTGTCATAATTACCAGTGCTTTTCAGAGCTACTTTCCTACCAAACACAGGTTTTCCCTGCCCCCCCATGAGGTTGAGGAAGATGAGGACACCATGTTGAAAGGAGATAGATCACAGTACTAATGACTGCAGGGCCCCCCCAGGCACCCAGGTATTTGAGTGGGAGTTACACAGGAGTTTGGAGGCTCAGGTAAAGGTCCACAAGTACTAGCTACCAGCATATGTCTAGGCTACAGTTTGGGGTATTTTCCTAATTGGTTGACTTTGACAAATTGCTTTCTCCCCCAAGGCCTAAGCTACCCCACATTTGAAAAAGACCAACCCTGCCTGGCTGGTGTGGCTCAGTTGATTGGGCTCGATCCTATGCACCATGAGGTTGCTGGTTCAATTCCCAGTCAGGGCACGTGCCCCGGTTGTGGGCTCAATTCCCAGTGAGGGGCATGCAGGAGGCAGCCAATCAATGTTTTTCTCTAAAATCAGTAACATATTTTAAAAGAAAGAAGAAGAAAAAAGACCAGTCCTTTGAGGCATATCCCTGAGGTCAATCATCTGCATCTTCCTCATCAACAGATGCCCCTCATTCAGTGAAGTCTGTGGTTCCTGCCTTCCTCTTCACCCCAGATCTTATCATCCAGCATGGCCACGCTGGTGTGAACAATGTATCCAAGTCCCCGACACATCAGTTGTCCCCTCAGCCATTCACAACTATGTCCTACCCCTTGTCATCACCCTCTGAAATTTTAAATTCAAATATCCCACCTCCTCACCCTTTATCACTTGGTTCTCAATCCACTGCCTCTTCCTGGACCCTGCTGAGACCCACCTTTCTCCCTTCCAGCCTCCCTTCCTCTTCAGCTGGCACCACCATCTTCTGCTTCATGCCAAACTTCGTAAGAGAGCTGTCATCACTTCCTTCATTTCCTCCTCAGCCTCCTCTGGTCCACTGACATGTTGCTACATCCCGAAGGTATTTTAGCCATTGCCTTTTCTGTCATTGCGTACCCCTCCCTTTACCTGGAAACTCTTTTTTGCTCCAGTGACCCCACCTGACTCTTTTTCCCCCTAAGCAGGCTGCTCCTCTGCTGTCTGTCCCCTAGGTGTGGGTGTTTCTCAGGACTGTCTGGGTCCCCCTCTCTATACTTCTTCCTGACTAGTCTCACCCACTCCCCTTGTTTCAGGAACCCGATGATTCCTAAATCATCACCTCCCGCCCAGATCTGTTTCCAGCCTGGCAGGGGGTGCCCCTAACTTCACAGGCCCACAGCCGAATTCCTCCTTTCCCTCTACTTGCTCTACCTCCTAGATCACCACCCAACCAGCTGGGTGACACTCTAGATCTGGTGTCATTCCTGATTCCTCCCCGCCCCATCAAGTGCTGTGAATTCTCCTGCCTAAATGCCTCTGGAATTTCCATTTCACCCTGTCCCCAGTGGCCTCTATATTAATTCAGGCCATCATCACCCCCCCCCCCCCCCCGTTTGCAGTATTATAAGAACTTCCTGCCTGTCCCCTTCCAATCTATTCTCCACACTGCCAAGTGAAAAATCCCTTCTCTCTCCCTATTCCACCTCCCAGCCCTTCAGTTCCCCTATGGTCTTGGATACACTTGGCCCCCTTAACATGATTTAGGGGCCATGGCAGAGCATCTGCTTCCTTCTCAGCTTGCTTCCTTAGCAGTGTGCGTGCTGGAGGCCTGTGTCACATGTCCACACAGCACCCTGTGCTAACCTGCATTGGCTTTCTGTCTTTGATCAGATCTGGAACTCCTTGAAGGCAAGGGCTACATCTTGCTCACCATCATTCCCAGTCTAGCAAAGGGCACTTAGGAATCCTTTAGATTTAGCACTTAGTTGGCGTTCAATAAACATTTGCTGCATTCTTGGAAGAAAATGGAATACTGCCTGGCTGGTGTGGTTCAGTGGTTGGGCATTGACCCATGCACCAAGAGGTCGCCGGTTCGATTCCCCGTCAGGGCACGTGCCCAGGTTGTGAGCCCAATCCCCTGTGGGGGGCATGCAGGAGGCAGCCAATCGATGTTCTATCTCATCGATGTTTCTATCTCTCTCTCCCTCTCCCTTCCTCTCTCTCTAAAGATCAATGAAGAAAAAAAATTAAAAAAAAAAAGAAATACTGCCGCACAGGACCTGCCCTAGGTTAATTTCTAAGGGTGTTTTCTTTATTGAGATATTAATATATGGTAATTGTAACCCACTTTAGTCAAGTATGCCTAATAGTAAACATAAATCAACATACAAAGGGGAGAAAACATGACTTTTTCCAGTGATAATTCCAAAGGAAACATATCCACGCAGCTCTCTTTCCATGTAGCCTGGAAACCAAGTTTAGTTATATTCCTATTTTTAAAAGTCAACAATGGAACATTACTCCCCTAAATCAACTCAATAATTTTTATTTTTTCCAAAACATAAATGTTTGAAGACGTGAATTTAAAATAGTAATAGTACTTAATATGCTGCAAACCAGTTTTTTCAAGGTATGGGGCGGGGGGATCTGTAGTGCAATTTCCTGAGTTACCCTTTTAAAAGGCTCATTTGGGGCCGGGATTGTGATGCGTTGGAGTCTCTAGGAGCATGGCAGGGAGTCTGGAGTTTTCCGGCAGGCTACTCGGCGGGCACTGCGGGCGCCACTAGCAGTCTTGTGAACACAACTGCACACATCTACTCGTAGCTTCTTCCTGCCACAGAAGCAGCTTTGCAGGCATGAACAGCTTACCCATTTGCTTTCAGTCACTGGGATTTGTCCCATCATCTGACATTTACTGAGCATCTATTATGTACCAAGTACTGTGCTTGGTACAGCAAAGAGCAGGATAAGCTAGTCCTTGCTCTCGTGGAGCTGAGATGAGTCTAGGGGTGTGTGTGTGTGGGTGCAGATAAGTAAACAAGTGAGGGTACTATAGAAGAAAATGAAATAGACAGTGGTGGTGGGTGGGTAGAAAGCTGAGGCCTGACATAAGAAAAAGAGGCAGAACAAGTACAGAGTTCCTGAGGCAGGAACAACTTCGATGTAGGGATGCTGGAAGCAAGAGTGAGGGTAACAGAGCACGAGAGAGGAGACAGGGCTGGAGAGCAGAGCCATGCAGCTATTTCAAGTGTGAGGGAAGCAATTAGGGACTTAGCACCGAGGGGTGACAAGATCTGATTTCTGATTTATTTAAAAAAAATTTTTTTTTTTCATCCTCACCTGAGGACATTTTTCCATTTTTTGTACAGATAGAGTGGGAGGGAGAGAGAGGAAGAGAGAGAGAGAGAGAGAGAAACATCGACGTGAAAGGGACCCATCGAGTGGCTGCCACCCGCACGACCAACCAGGGCCGGGGACAAACTGCAACCGAGGTACATGCTCTTAGCGGGAACCGAACCCGGGTCTCTCCGGACCGCAGGCCGACGCTTTAACCGCTGAGCCAAATCGGCCAGGGCTAAAAAAAAAAATTTTTTTAAATTGATTTGAGAGAGAGGAAGAAACATCGATGAGAAAGAACATCGATTGGCCACCTCCTGCATGCCCCCCACTGGGGATCGGGCCCACAACCTGGGCATGTGCCCTGACCAGGAATCGAACCTGTGACCTCTTGGTGCATGGGTCAATGTTCAACCACTGAGCCATGCCAGCTGGGCTGATTTCTGCTTTTAAAAACAGAAATTTAAAAATTGATTTCTTTCCCTAAAATCAATAAAGAAAAATTATTAAAATAAATATAAGCCCTGGCTGGTTTGGCTCAGCAGTTAGAGCGTCGGCCTGCGGTCCAGAGAGACCCAGGTTCGGTTCCCACTAAGGGCGCATACCTCGATTGCAGTCTGTCCCTGGCCCTGGTTGGTCGTGCGGGTGGCAGCCACTTGATGTGTCCCTTTCACGTCGATGTTTCTCTCTTCCTCTCTCTCCCTCCCACTCTGAACAAAAAATGGAAAAATGTCCTCAGGTGAGGATTAAAAATAATAAAAAATAAATAAATAAATGAACAAATCACTCTGGCTGCTGTGTGAAGAGACTTTTTGGGGTGGTGAGCATTAAGTAGAAAGAGGCCATGACATCCATTCAAGCTAGAGATGTTGGTGGTGTGGACTAGAGTGAACAAGATACAATGAGTGAGCAGACCCAGGACCTGCTGATGGATGGGTGTGGGGAAGGGATAAACAGAAACCAAGGATGACTCTTCCTCCTAGGCTGGGGACTCCAGCAACCACTTGGATGGTGGTACAATTTACCAAGATAGAAAAGGAGGAGGAATGTGCTTAGCAAGTGAAAAACATTTTTTTTCTTATAATTATAAGTGCAAGGTGCCCATCAGACATCCAAAGGAAGATTAGCAGGTGGATACAAGTCTGAGACTCCAAAGGGAATTTGAAGCCACAAACCCAGAAGGCATCAGTGAGGATGGTATTTAAAGCCACAGGCCAGATATGATCTCCAGGAGCCTGAATTTTGACAGACAACAGAAGACAGGGCTCTGGGTCACCCCAACACCTAGAGTGTGAGCGGAGAAGCAAGGGAAAGGCAGTACTGCCAAGAATGTGAAGAGGAGTTTGGAAAATTGTATAGATGGCCACCAAGGGGCTGGAGTTGGCAAGGCTAGGATTTCAGTGGCGTGATGGGGTTAAAATTTAAAGAGGGACGGCCCAGCTGGGGCAGCTCAGTGGTTGAGCATCAACCCATGCACCAAGAGGTTGCCGGTTCGATTCCTAGTCGGGGCACATGCCCAGGTTGTCGGCCAAATCCCCAGTGAGGGGCATGCAGCAGGCAGCCAATCGTTCACTCTCATCAATGTTTCTATCTCGCTCCCCCTCTCCCTAAAATCAATTAAGAAAAAAATAAAGAAAGAGGGACAAGGGAGAAAAGGTGGAAGTGAACAGAGAACTCTTGGGGCATGTGGCTGAGGAGAGAAACGGGTGGTTGTAGGTAGGACATGAAGACAAAGGCTTCTGTTTTGTTGTTTCGCCACAGAAGACCCCCAAGAGCCTTGCTGATGGGAGAGGCCAGCAATCCAGGAGAGTGGGGACGGGGCACTGCACTGTACCAGGAGAGAAAACCAGAAAACGTGCGTTTTAGAAATTGGGACGCGATTGTACTAGGGAAGATCTAAGGATAGGTGAGAAATGCTGGGTTCCTATGTGACATCTGTGGTCCTACATTCAAAGTGGGACTTAGCAGTCCAACTGCCTGATTCCCCAGGTGAAGTAAAGTACTGTTAGCACCAGGAATACAGCCATAAAGTACAATTCCTTGCTTTAGGAAAAACATCCTGTAATTCCAGGATGGCTCATGAATGTTGATTCACTCTCAAACACATACACACAACTGATTCTCATTATTCACTGAAGTTACATTCTATAAAATCACGGCAAATACTGAAGTAGCGAATAGCAAACCACTGTTGTTCAGGAAATAGAAGGTTGGGTTCTTGGGAACCTCTGGTCACATCAGCTGATTAACACATAACCTTGTTTTACGTGTGTTTTTGTTTGAAAACACCTTTGTCAATAAATATATATTATTCATTCATTAATATTGAAAACTCATATCCAATAGTGCCTGAATGAAGGTTATCTAAGGCTTATCACAGCCTTTTTGTGCTCAAGAACACTAGACGGCACTTCACTACATCTGGGGGCCATCTGAAACAGAAACCACCACCAATAAGCAAAAAACCTGCCATTAAATAGGTACATTTGAGCTGAAACAAGTAGGCAGGCACTGTCTTGTTAACTTCAGTTGGAAATGTATGCGTTAGGTAACTCAAATTTTTGCCACTTTGTGCATGCCTGCAAATCCACAAGTATTAATTTTGGGATTACAAATAAATTTTAGTGCATTCACAAACACAACTTGTGAAAAATGACCTATATTGAAAACTATGACATATTATTTTTTTTATTTTTTTTACTTTTTTTTTTTTAATCCTCACCCGAGGATATTTTTCCATTTTTTGTACAGATAGAATGGGAGGGAGAGAGAGGGAGAAACATCGACGTGAAGGGACACATCGAGTGGCTGCCACCCGCACAACCAACCAGGGCCGGGGACAAACTGCAACCGAGGTACGTGCCCTTAGCGGGAACCGAACCCTGGTCTCTCCGGACCGCAGGCCGACGCTCTAACCGCTGAGCCAAACTGGCCAGGGCAAAACTATGACATATTATACTGTAGTATGCACACACACAAATGCACCAGGGGCTTATTAAAGGAGGGGCTTGTAACTTACAGCCCCGGGGAATCCCTCCCCACCATGTCTGGGCTGTGCACAGCTTCTTCCCCAGAGCAGTACAGATGGATTCTGGAGTCTCACTATGTGGGCCCAAAGCCAGCTCTACCACTTGTTTGCTGGGTGACCTGCGTGTTTCCAGACCTCTGTGCTTATAAATCTTGTTTAGTAAATCTATATGGGACTTCTAAATTGAAGGACAAACAGTATCCTAATACAAATAACAAGGCCTGACACAGGGCTGCCGAGTGCTCAATACATCTGGTGAGTGAACGAATGAATACCTAACATCAGATAAATCAGAATTCTTGTACATGAGGTTTCCTGAGACAAGCAAGTTATATATACCTTTATTGTTTAATTTCTCCCCACCCACAAGCTAATCAATAAAAGCATTACTTAATGATTCTCCCCAGTCATGGCTTTTTTCTTGGGGCGGGGGGTGTCCTCTCAGTATCACCCACTCTCTTCTCACTGATAACATCTAATTGTTCCCCTTTCCCAAATAAACAGTACACTGTAGAAGAAAGACTTATACCTTAGGTCATTCAACCTAAGGCAAAAATGGCCCCTTAAAAACTGTCAGAAAACTGCTACAGGATGTTTCCTACCTAAACATCATCTTCTGAAACCTAACAAAGGTGTAAAACATAAACACCCGCTCGTATCCTATTTGTGTAGTCTCCCGCCCATCTGTCCAACACACATATCACCGAGCTCTTGGCCAGGTGCACCAGACAGAGGCAGGAAGTGACTCGCCCAGAATTCCCTGTCTCATCAGAGGCAGGATCAGCGCTCGAACCCAGACCTTTAGGCTCTGAGCTCTGGCACCCTCCACAGTCTTTAGTGAAAGACAACACCCACGAGATCCAGGCGAGACGCAGAGCAAGAGTTGTGACACACATTCTGGGGGGAGATAAGGAAACCAACAGATCAAAGACAGGAGAACAAAAAAACAAAACACAAAAAATAACCAGCCAGTCCCTGACCAAAGAGAAACATGGGTTTCAAAATGTACAGCCAGGGGGTGTGTGTTAATTTTTTAGGGTTGACTTTCCATTTCAGCTTCCTGGGAAAGAAAAATTCCTGTGAATCACTTAATAGTAACCAGACTTCGATGTATTGCAATAAAACAGGGAACTGTTTAAAAAAAAAAAAAAAAAAATCCTGTGCCTTGAACTGCTGAAAGGGCAGAAGTTACCACAAATAGCACCTGGCTCAGGGTGGGGCCAGGGAAATAACACTACAAAAGTGAAAGAAAAGTAAAACATTCACTCAAAACCATGATCCTTAATTCTATCAAATTCTACAAAAGCCACAAAATATTCTTAGAAACTTGGAGTTGGAAATAAATAATCCAAGAAGTGAGCAAAGACTCTAATTAGAAACCATCTCTGTCTTCCCCGTTGCTTGAAAGGTAACCTATTTTCTGTTTAGAATCCCCTGAAAATGCAGATTTGGCCATGTATCCCCCTTTCCAGTTTGGCTAGGATTCCCCATGCCCTCTACTCCGGTTCAGCCCAGGCTGGAGTTTCCCACCTGCTTCCTTACCTAGTCCCTAATTATCTTCCCTGGTTACATCCCACTTCTCCCTCTGCGTATACCCAAGGTTTTCTAAAACCCATTTGTGTCCTGGGAGCTGCTGGGCAGGAGCATGTGTTCTGAGGTGCAGTCTATACCCTCAGCTGAAGGAAATGGAGGTCAGGTGCCCTGCAGCACAAGTTAACTACAGAATGGAGGCCACTTCCCTCAATGAGTCTGGGAACAGGTCTGTGTGACAGGCCACATCTCTATCACCTCATTTTTATAGCCTTCCCTACAGCTTCAAAATTTCAGAGGTCCACACAAAACCTAGTTTTTCTGTTCTTTACTCACCACTGTTCAAATATGTGAGAACAGCAGGGGCAGGTTATACATTTCCCCCCTTCAGCAGAAACATTAATGAGCTCTGCTTGGCAGTGCCCTTGAGTGTCCATGAGACAGTCCTCTCTGTCCCATGGGCTCCGAGTCCTGCCTATTGGCAGGGCCATGAGCAGTCAGAATGGCTTCCCCCTTGCTTCTATCCAGCAAGGCCTTGAGAGAGAAACTGAGTTCAAACATTCTCCTTTCTCCTTGGGTCATGTGGAGAATTGTTTGAGGCCCTGTGCTCCAGAAATCCACTGTGGCCAACACTGTCATCGCCCCATGATGAAGCTGGGCTCTTCCTCTTTCTCCTCCTCTGTTCCAGATGTCTCCTCCGAGCTACTGGACGGCTGCTCTTGGGAATGACTGGATCCTGTAATCACATGATATTTGGATTAGAGATGTCCAAATTCATGCAGGTAATCAAGGGCACTTTAGAATAAGGAGATGTGCTATGGAAACAATAGGAACTTGCTTTTCCTGGACAGACAAGCTAGGAGCCAAAGGAGGTCCTCACATCCATCAGTCCTCAACGCCACTGTCCAGTATAAAGGGTCTGTCCCAGAACTGATCCACCACTGATGGTGGGTTGATCTCCTCCTTATTAAAAAGATCTAGCAGCACACACGAGCCTGATGCCCCATAAATCAAGCCTCACATAAAAAAATATATATGTTTTTATTGATTTTTTGAGACAGAGAGGAAGGGAGAAAGATAGAAATATTGACTGGCTGTCTCCTGCGCGCCCCCTACTGGGGATCGAGCCCACAATCCGGGCATGTGCCCTGACAGGGAATCCAAACGGGACTTAGTCCATGGGACAACGCTCAATCCACTGAGCCACACCAGCCAGGCTGAGCCTCTGCTTTTATATGGTCCCCACCACCACTTTGGCAGGGCAACACCCCCAACCAGCCCTTTAACATTTAATGCAGGCAATACTGCTGCTGCTGTCTGAAGCTCTCCCACTGCAAACCACAAGAGGATTTTCAAAATATGTGTAGCAGAGAGCTCTACGCACACAAATATGCCAGTTTCCCAGCTCTTCTCACAGACCTAGAAACCCTCTTGACACTCTATGTGCAGCTCTGAATTCCAGTGTCTTCTGGCGTAAATGCCAGCACCCACAGTGCCACTGAGCTGGCCAAAAGCAGAGCACCAAGACAATGTGTCCCCAACTCCTCCTCCTCCTCCCTGTTTGGGAGCAGAGGAGTGGGTGAGAACTGGAACAAGGCAGAGCCAGACCCTCAGAGGCAGCACCAGTCCTTCAGCTCCCAGCCCAGCCCAGCCCAGCCCAGGCAGCCACTTGCAGGCACACCCAGGCCCATCATGGACCCCCTCCCTGCAGATGTACAGGAACTCCAGCACCCCCAGAGCCCACAGGCAACCAGAGATTTGCTTTTGCTGTCATCACAGGGCCAGACAAAGAGCTTCAAGGAAGGAAGCCTTGGGGTGCCCAGGCACAGTATAGTATAAAAATCACCTTCACACCCTTGGATGAGACACTTAAAACCACTCATGGTAATTGGTTGAAATCATCTCTAAGATTTAATTTAATAAATTTAGGATATTCTTCCTCCCCAACCTCATGCCAAAAAAAAAAAAAAAGTTTCAAAAGTATAAATGGCAAGCACGTTTTATTTTTTATTTTTTATCCTCACCCGAGGACATTTTTCCATTTTTTGTTCAGGTAGAGTGGGAGGGAGAGAGAGGAACAGAGAGAGAGAGAGAAACATCGATGTGAAAGGAACACATCGAGTGGCTGCCACCTGCACAACCGACCAGGGCCGGGGACAAACTGCAACCGAGGTACGTGCCCTTAGCGGGAACCGAACCCGGGTCTCTCAGGACCGCAGGCCGACGCTCTAACCACTGAACCAAACCGGCCAGGGCTGGCAAGCACGTTTTAATAGCTATTTGTTCAACACCTAATGTGCCAGGCTAATTCTTTACTGTCTTGTTTAACTCTAAGTACCACTACCATATATTCATTTACAGATGAGGAAAGAGCTTAGAAAAGTTAAGTAATTTGCTATGAAGATCTCAGAATCAGTAAAACAAGGATCCAGGCTTCAGACCTGGACTATTTGACTTTCTAGACTTCTAACCACCTTGTCTGCAGAAATGCATCAGGCAAAAAAAAAACAAAAAAAAAAAACAAGGTGGAGACAGAAGTGAGGTGAGCATACCAAATGGATAAGCACAATGTGGTCTAACCATACAATGGAATATCAATTCATTAAAAAAAAAAATTCTAACACATGCCACAACATGGATGAACCTTGAAGACATTATATGCTAAGTGAAAACAGGCCAGTCATAGAAAGACAAATATTCTATGATTCCTCTTATATGAGGTATCTTGAATAGTTAAAATCAGAGAGACTAAAAGTAAAATGTGGTTGTTGGGGACAAGGGGACTGGGAGAGGGGGAATGGGAGTTATTATTTAATAGGTATAGTTTCCATTTTACAAGATGAAAAGAGTTATGAGGGTTGATGTTAGAAATGGTAGCATACTGATTTGAATGTATTCAATACCAATAAACCATGCACTTAAAATGGTTAAGATGGCACACTTTATATCATATGTATTTTATCACACACACACACAAAATATGGAGAGATTGAAGAAAAAACTAAAGAGTGATAAAAAAAAATCTAGCTCTGCAGGATACAAAATTAACGTCAAGAAATCGACGGCATTCTTGTACATCAATGATGAACTCACAGAAAGAGAAACTGAAAAAACAATCCCATTTACCACTGCGCCAAAAAAATTACGATACCTAGGAATAAACTTAACCAAAGAAGTAACGGACCTATTTGCAGAAAACTACAGGTCATTGAAAAAAGAATTAGAGGAAGATATAAAAAAGTGGAAGCACATACCCTGTTCATGGATTGGAAGAATTAACATAATTAAAACGTCCATACTACCCAAAGCAATCTATAGATTCAATGCAATCCCCATCAAAATACCGACAACATATTTCATAGAACTAGAACAAATACTTCAAAAGTTCATATGGAACCAAAAAAGACCCCGAATAGCCACAGCAATCTTGAAAAAGAAGGACAAAGTAGGTGGGATCACAATACCAGATATCAGGTTATACTACAAAGCGACTGTAACCAAAACAGCCTGGTACTGGCACAAGAACAGGCATATAGACCAGTGGAACAGAACTGAAAACCCAGAAATGGACCCAAGGCAATATGCTCAATTAATATTTGACAAAGGTGGCAAGAGCATACAGTGGAGTAAAGACAGCCTCTTTAATAAATGGTGTTGGGAAAATTGGACAGCTACATGCAAAAAAATGAAACTAGACCATCAACTTACACCATACACAAAAATAAACTCAAAATGGATAAAAGACTTAAATGTGACCCGTGAATCCATAAAAATTCTAGAAGAAAATGTAGGCAACAAAATTTCGGACATCATACGGAGCAGAATTTTCACTGATACATCACCTAAGGCAACAGAAATAAAGGAGAAAATGAATACATGGGACTACATCAAACTAAAAAGCTTCTGCACAGCAAAAGAAACAATCATCAAAATGGAAAGGCAACCCACTGTATGGGAGAACATCATTGCCAATGATGTATCAGATAAGGGGTTAACTTCCAATATATATAGAGTGCTCATACAACTCCACAAAAGGAAGACAAAGAACCCAATTAAAAAATGGGCCGAGGAGCTGAATAGACACCTCTCCAAACAGGACATACAAATGGCCAAAAGACATATGAAGAAATGCTCAACATCACTAATCATCAGAGAGATGCAAATTAAAACAATGAGGTATCACCTCACACCTGTCAGAATGGCCGCCATCAACAAATCATCAAACAACAAGTGTTGGCGAGGGTGTGGAGAAAAGGGGACTCTAGTACACTGCTGGTGGGAATGCAGACTGGTGCAGCCGCTATGGAAAACAATATGGTGCTACCTCAAAAAATTAAAAATTGAACTTCCATTGACCCAGTGATCCCACTGCTGGAATATACCCTAAGAAGCCTGAAACACCAATCAGGAAGAATATATGTACCCCCATGTTCATAGCAGCACTATTTACAATAGCTAAGATCTGGAAACAGCCCAAGTGTCCACCAGTAGACGAATGGATAAAAAAGCTGTGGTACATATACACAGTGGAATACTATGCAGCTGTAAGAAAGAAAGATCTCTTATCCTTTGAGACGACATGGAGGGACCTGGAAAGTATTATCCTAAGTGAAAGAAGCCAAGCAGAAAAAGACAAATACCACATGATCTCACTTATATACGGAATATAATGAACATAACAGTCTGAGGAATACAGTAGACCCAGAAACATGGAAGTAGGGCACAGACTGACATCCCTCAGAAGAGGGAATGGGGGGGTGGGGGTGGTGGGAATAGATAAACCACAGAACTTATATGCATGTATGCATGACCAATGGACATGGACAACTAAGCCGGGGATGGGGTGGAGGTGGGGTGGGGTGGGGGGTGCCAATGGGGTAAAAAGGTAAAATATCTGTAACAAAAAAATAAATAAAAATTCATAAAAATAAATAAATAAATAAATAAATACATTAAAAAAAAAAAAATCTAGCTCTGAACTCCTTGGGCTCATAGGGCAGTAATCCCAAGCTCTCATGTCATGGCACACATGGAAAAGGATGATATTTGTATGGCACATGGAGCAACCAGTCCAAGGCTTTGAGTACTCAGTCTCTACCCTGGAAGCCAAGGGGACCAGGATCTCACCACTTGCAGCCTATTGCCCCACATGCTAGCTGGAGAGTTCTGCTCTAGAGCTTGGGCTCTATGGCTGAAACTGCTGATTATTTTGTTTTATTCCATAATGCAGCATATTCTGTCTGCCTCCAGTCTCTCTAAGAACCACCAACCAGCCCTGGCCGGTTTGGCTCAGCGATTGGAGCATCGACCTGTGGACTGGAGAGTCCCAGGTTTGGTTCCCGCTACTGCATGTACCTCGGTTGCAGTTTGTCCCCGGCCCCGGTTGGGGTGATGCAGAAGGCAACCACTTGATGTGTCCCTCTCACAATAATGTTTCTCTCT